TTCTTACGTTTCACAGCATGCCATCCCAGCGTCAGAGCAATAACATTCGATGCATTTGTCGCTTTTCCAACTGGTTTCAAATTGATGAGTGGAATTATCTGCGCTATCTGTACAGTTAGTAGCTCCTATTTAAATAAAGTCTGAGTGAACATGCATAAAAACAAAGCAAAATGTTGACCAATGCAGTACTGAATCAATTTAACGAAGAATTTGTTTGGCTTAAAAAAAATTAAAATAAAAATAAATAAAAGTTTGACTGTGATCGTGTGTGTGTGTGTGTGTGTGTAAGTTATTTACCTGGTTGTAGAGGTTCGAAAAAACAGGAATTACTTAGAAAGACAAAGGTGGAAATTATGAGAACCAAAGTCAAAGACTCCTGTAACAACAAGTGAAAACAACATCACAAACAAACAAACCATAAAGAACGAATAACAGTAGGCTATATGATGTTTTTTTTAAGTCTACATTGATCACTCAAAATATTAAACTCACCATATTTGGAATATCAGCAAAAACAAGTGTGACATGTCGCAGTTTGACAGCATTTAAACCAGCGATGCTAACTCACTTCCTGCAGTTTAGCTTTAACCATAATTAAACACACCTGATCATACTCATAATTGACTAATCAATGACAAACGAGAGATGGTTTGTCTTAAAAAAAAACTGTTATTTCTTTATATTTAACATGAACAAACTGGGGTCTGTTCTTCGTACGTGGATTACCCAGTTAGCTGGATTTGATTATTGACTATTTGACAATCCAGGATCGTTTCGTTCTTTAAAACTCATGCGACAGTTGTTGTCATAGCAACAGTTCTGGTAGCTCAAACCTGCTCGGGAGCAGGCTCATTTCATATAAACAGGATTAGATTGAGTAATTTAAAGCAAAGATAATACTGAAAGTATTTACTGAATACTGATATTTTCTCACAGTAGTGGTTATATACAATTGGGAAAATAGTAAATATATATTTTTTAACTATATAAAGTAATAAAAAATATATATAGGCTATTAATAAAACTCATGCAATGTGCACTTTGAAATAAAAGTACAAAGACTGCCACCTGGTGATTTAAAGAGAAATTTTATTGATATAAACTTTTTAGATACAAACACATACAATCGCTTTGGTACAATTTGTGTATAATAATAGACATGCACAATATGCTTTTATTTTAACACTTTTTTTAAGGAATAATACATTTATGCAATCATGAACATTAGTTTGATGGCTAATATGACGGGGATTTGATGCTTAATACTTGCAGATGCATATACAAATATCAAAATGCATTTGTGATGCAAAATTAATTTAAACATCCAGTTATTCTTTACACCGATTAAGTGTGTCGGGATTGTCTTCTAAGGCGCAAGTTATTTATTAAATATTTAAAGAAAACATCTTCACAAAGAATTTACAAAGCTTCTCCTAGCGAAATTTTCCCCATAGTGCAAACACATGTGCTATAGGTAAATTAAATAAAGTAAATTTATTTAACTTTATTTAAAAGGCTGTATTGTGTGTGTGTAAATGACTGTGTATGGAGGTTTGCCAATACTGGGTTGCAGCTGGAAGGGCATCCTCTGTGTAAACCATATGCTGGCTAAGTTAGTGGTTCATTCCGCTGTGGCAACCCCTTATAAGTAAAGGGACTAAATTGAAGGAAAATTTAAAATGTTCCCCTTTACAATTCAAGTTTTCATTATAAAACAACACACCAAATAAATAAATTTCTATCTTTTTTTTCTTATACCGCAGTCACACTAGAGTTTGTGTGTGCAAAACTGTTGTACGGCGCAGAATGAAACAAGATGATTAGAGGTTGAAAAAAAAAAAAAAAAAGGGGAGGCGATTGGTCAATATTTTAAATTTCTGTCCAGAGAGGTCACGTGTTGATCTTCGATTGATTTCATGCGATTTCACAGGTCAGAGATATAATAAAGGATTAAATTTAGAGTATGATTACTCATCTATAAAATCACTAAATGACCTAGGACCTCAATACATTACAGATATGCTCACTGAATATAAGCCTAACAGAACACTCAGAGCATTAGGATCAAGTAAATTAGAAAATTCACCCAACCCCTACACCCAACAGTTACAGTTAAAACAGATTTCCCACCTTCAGTCAAGTGAAAACAGCCTTCTGAGCCTAACCGTAGGTGCAGAAGGCCCCTACTGGCCCATAAATATCAGCAGATAACACCCATTTAAGAGTTAAAAAAAAAAAAAAAAAAAAAAAACCATTCAAAGTGGGTGATCATGATATAAATGAAAATAATAATAGACTTGAGTAAAACAGAGACTAAGAGCTACAAACAACCAGACAGTAGTGTTTTAGCAAATTTTACTTTTCAAAAAGTAATAGTTTTTTGCTTTTTTTTTTTTAATTCTCACCAATTCTTGCTCCTATATGAAAATGACTGCCCACCACTCAAGTCAACTAACCAGTGCATGTGATGGTAAAGTCAAGTTTTCAAAACATAAAGATTAGAATGCGTAATGAGATTTTAATTTTGCAAAACAAAGTACAACAAGAACAAACGTGTTAGCAATCGTTGAGAATCATTTTAATATAGCACTGAATTCACAATTGAAGCTGGAGTCATCTGGATGAAACACTTTAAACGTGCATGTGGTGTAATTATACGTCACAATACAGACTTCGGTATGGTTTGTCACTGTACCCATCCTACAACAACAAAAACAACATGACTTCATGAAAAAAACAAGTCTGTTATCACTGATAAAACAAGCAGTTCAGTGTGACCCACTGTAGAGGTGGGAGATATGGAAAAAATACAATAAAGATTTTATTTTTATTACTTTTAATAATAATAATAATTATTATTATTATTATTATTATTATTATTATTATTATTATTATTATTATAATAAAAATTAAATAAAAATTTGACTCCCTTTCAGTATAACACTCAAGTGGTCTTAATACATCTTCTAGTGATTTTATTTGGGCAGATTTAAATAGTAATACACTTAAGTGGCCTTAAATAAATGGTCTAGTACAGGGTTTTTCAAAGTCTAAGACAGTGGGCCTCCCTAATCCATTGGCACCCCCCTCAGAAACCGATCCATTGTATTAGCAGCATGATTAGCAGGCATATACCTGTATTGGCGGGCTTGCCAAACAGAAGCGAAATTCACAGCTATGGCCTTCTGGGTAAAAAAGGTTTTCTTATTTGACGTATTATTTTTTTTTTTACGTTTGTTTAATTAAAACGTTTAAAAAAAAAAAAACATAATAAATTAAATAATTGTTAAATAACTGACATGCTCTGGCGCCCCCTGGGGAGGCACGCCTTACACTTTGAAAACCCCTGGTCTAGTAAATATAATGCACTTAAGTGGTCTTAAATATGTGGTCTAGTAAATATAATACACTTAAGCGGTCTTAATATAAATCTAGTAATTTTGACTTGTTTTAAATAGTAATATACTTTAGTGGTCTTAAATGTGTGGTCTAGTAAACTTAATACACTTAAGTGGTCCTAATATACCTTCTAGTAATTTTATTAGACTAATTTTAAATGGTAATACACTTAAGTGGCCTTTAATAAATGGTCTAGTAAATATAATGCACTTAAGTGGTTTTAAATATGTGGTCAAGTAAATATAATACACTTAAATGGTCTTAATATAAATCTAGTAATTTTGACTTGTTTTAAATAGTAATATACTTTAGTGGTCTTAAATGTGTGGTCTAGTAAATTTAATACACTTAAATGGTCCTAATATATCTTCTAGTAATTTTATTTGACTAATTTTAAATGGTAATACACTTAAGTGGCCTTTAATAAATGGTCTAGTTAATATAATGCACTTAAGTGGTTTTAAATATGTGGTCTAGTAAATATAATACACTTAAGTGGTCTTAAATATGTGGTCTAGTAAATATAATACACTTAAGTGGTCTTAATATAAATTTAGTAATTTTGATTTGTTTTAAATAGTAATATACTTTAGTGGTCTTAAATGTGTGGTCTAGTAAACTTAATACACTTAAGTGGTCCTAATATATCTTCTAGTAATTTTATTTGACTAATTATAAATAGCAATACATTCAGGTGGTCTTAAATAAGTGGTCTACTAAATAAAATGCACTTAAGTTGTCCAAATATATCTTCTAGTAATTTTATGACTAGTTTTAAAAAAAATACACTTAAGTTGCTTTTAAAAAGTGGTCTAGTAAATAGAATACACTTAAGTGGTCTTTATATACACAGCTTCTAGTAATTTTATGGCTAGATTTAAATAGTAATATACTTAAGTGGTCTTAAATAAGTGGTCTAGTAAATATAATACACTTAAGTGTTCTTAAAATATATTCTAGTAATTTTAGTAACAGTCTCCAACATTTAGATTTTTGAGTGAACATACACATGTAAAAAACATACACATTTACGGACTGATTTTAAAGACTTCTCTCCAAATTAGACAATAAATTTCTTTTACGTTTCACAGCATGACATCTCAGTGGCAGAGCAATCACATCTGATGCATTTGGTGTTTGTCCAACTGCTTCCAATTGGATGACAGGAATTATCGGTGCGATCCGTACAGTTTGTTGCTCCTGTTTAAGTAAATGAGTAAGCAAGCATACATCCATAGGAAACTCAATGCAGCAAAATGTGGACTAATACTGTACTGAATAAATTTAACTAAGCATTTGTTTGGCTATAGATGCGTGTTCGGCTGTGAGTATTTACCTGGTTCTAAAAGTTCAATAAAACAGGATTCACTCAGAGACATTATGACGCAAACTATTAAGACGAAAGTCAATGACGCCTGTAAAAAGAAAGAAAAAAAAAAAGGTAAAAACATTACAAACAAATCAATCATTAAGAATACACTCAATTTTTTATGTCTACATTGATCAATCATATTATTGAACTCACCATTTTTGGACTTTCAAAATCACAATTCTGATGAGGTGCGGTTTTACCACATTTAAACCTGAACTCAGTTCCTGCAGTTTAGCTTAGACCATAACTAAACACACCTGATCATACTCATCACACTAATTGACCAGTTAATGACAAACAAGAGATGGTTTGTCTAAAAACAACCTGTTATTTCTTTATTTTTAACATGAACAAACAGAGCTAGATAGGTTAGGGAAAATCTAGCACACATTTATAATGGTTTAAGCGTGGAAATGTTGTTGGTATTTGAAACAATCATTTGTTCAGGTAAAAGTATCTTATGCCAGTGCGCATGCACAGTACCGATCAAAAAAGTTGCCAGCCGTGTTAATGTGGAAGATGGAAATAATTCTAAATGATGTGGACAAGGAGAGTTTTTAGTTGTAAATTCATCCAGATTAATGTAGATGTAGCCAGGGCCCGGTTTTTCAAAAGTAATCCACTAGGATTTTGGATAAGGGATTGGATCAAATCTTGAAAAGGGGTTTTTCAAAAGAAAAAACGGATTACGTAATCGGATTAGATCACGTAATCCAATCTTGGTTTTGATCCGGATCAAACCTTTAGTTTGGGTTTTTTAGACCTTTTTTGTAGGATCTGGATTACTTTGATCCAAAAAACCTGGATTAAACTGATCCCATCAGAAGGGTGGATTTAGCGTGGATTTCATGTCCAAAATGTAATGAAGACTTAAAAAATGTATTAAATAATACTATTTTTGGATCATGCAGTATCTTACGAGATATACTATTTATTCATAAGGTTTTAATTTTATTCGTTCATCTGTCAGGCTGTAGTGAGTATAGGCTTTAATGTATTTAGCCTTTCAGTATAGGCCTACAGCAAAGTAGAGTTTGGCCTCATAAAATAATCCCCCAAACAGCTGTCAAAACTGACCAAAAACAATCAATTTTATTCAGTCACTAATTGGTATATATATTCATCACAATGGAAAATATTTTTCTTTTTAGAACATTTATTAGTGATGCATGCAATGATTACAGAAAAACAACAACAACAAAAAATCGCAAAGAATGGCGATCACTGATTTTTGAAATCACTTTCAACAATTGCAAAAAGAGACTGAAAGGGCAGAAGCACAGCTTCGTCTGGCAGAGAAACAACTGACTCTAACCAAACTGCAGCAAACCAAGGCCAATGACTTGAGATTCGCCTCCTAAAGGCTACGCTCAGACAAGCTGCTCTCTCCACATCATATGAGGAAGTCTGAAATTATTGTGGAGTTTTTGACATTAAGTCTTTTTTTATTTACATCTATATTTGAAACTTATTATAAATATGCTCAATGTACAGTGTTATAGGTGTCAGATGAGTGGACTGCTGAGAGGGGATGAGGTGGGTTTTTCTTGTTTTTATTATTTATTATTATTATTATTTTAACAATTATTAAATGTTTTTTAGTTTTCATTTCAAATAAAAATAAAGTTATATTGGCCCCACGCTGGCTATTCTACTTGTCGCTCTTTACATATCTATAGTTCTACATTGTGATGTCCTATGCTGTTTGAGCACTGGTTATGCAGATTTAGTGATCCTGAAAAGTTCCTATCCGGATCAGATTGATCCAATCCGATGTTGCTTTGAAAAACTGGCACAAAAAGTAAGCTGGATTACGTGATCACGGATTGCAAAAACAGGATTACTAAATCTGGATCAATTTTATCCGGATTAAACCTTTTGAAAAACCGGGCCCTGGAGTGTTCATCAGATGGATACTCTTCTATCCCAGAAGACTTAGAGTTGACTTAGGCTGTAGAGCAGGGGTGTCAAACTCAATTCCTAGAGGGCCGAAGCCCTGCACAGCTTAGTGCCAACCCTGCTCCACCACACCTACCTGTAGGTTTCAAACAAGCCTGAAGGACTCAATTAATTTGATCAGGTGTATTTAATTAGGGTTGAAACTAAACTGTTGAGAGCTGTGGCCCTTTTGGAACCGAGTTTGACACCTGTACTGTAGAGTATCTACTCTTTTAGTGCTTGTTATACTTATTAAAACTGAATACCATTAAGTATGCGTTCACCTACCATGATACTACCACATAATCTTTTCTCTAATTGTGTTGTACAGTGCATCTGGAAAGTATTCATAGCTCTTTTTCCACAGTTTTTTATGATACAGCCCTATTCCAAAATGGGTTAAATTCATTTATTTCCCTAAAATTCTACACACAATACCCCATAATGACAATGCAAAAAGTTTTTTGAAATTGCTACAAATTTATTAATAACAAAAAAAAACTGAAAGATCTCATGTATATAAGTATTGGCAGCTTTTGCTATGAAGCTCTAAATTGAGCTAAGGTCCATTCTGTTTCCACTGATCATTCTTGAGATGTTTCAGCAGTTTAAATGGATTTCACTTGTGGTAAATTCAGTTGATTGGACATGATTTGAAAAGGCATACACCTGTCTATATAACACTCCCCGCCTGGAATTTGCCAAAAGGCATCTGAAGGACTCTCAGACCATAAGAAACTAAATTCTCTGGTCTGGTGAGACTAAAATTTAACTCTTTGAAGTGAATGCCAGGAGTTACGTTTGGAGAAAACCAGGCAGCGCTCATCACCAGGCTAATACCATCCCTACGGTAAAGCATGGTGGTGGTAGCATCATGCTGTGGGGATGTTTTTTTTTTTTTTTGCAGCAGGAACAGGAAGACTAGTCAGGATAAAGGGAAAGATGAATGCAGCAATGTACAGAGACATCCTGAATGAAAACCTGCTTCTTGCTCTTGACCTCACACTCGGGCAACGGTTCATCTTCCAGCAGGACATTGACACAAAGCCCACTGCCAAAAGATCAATGGAGTGGCTACAACTCTGTGAATGTCCTTGAGTGACCCAGCCAGAGCCCAGACCTAAATCCTATTGAACATCTCATGCAAATTAAGTATACGTATATGGCTGAATCATCGATAGATAGATAGATAGATAGATAGATAGATAGATAGATAGATAGATAGATAGATAGATAGATAGATAGATAGATAGATAGATAGATAGATAGATAGATAGATAGATAGATAGATAGATAGATAGATGGATGGATGGATGGATGGATGGATGGATGGATGGATGGATGGATGGATGGATGGATGGATGGAACCCAAATCTGGTATCCATGTATTTTTAAACACAAAAGAACATTGCCAAGTGTAATGAGATAACTTTATTTAATCATGCAAAAGCACACAAAGTATAGCAGTTAATTAAGTAGCAAGCAGTGCAAGATTCATCTTTGCAACATTTTTCAAACATTTTTAGAAAATCCTTTTTGTCTTTTGGTAATCAAGTTTTTTTTTTCAGTTATTTCAGAATTTCCAAATATAATGATCATTCTAGATATAAGCAAATATCCTGGTTAGTCTTGTTAGTTTGAATCTTTTTGGTATAACTAGAGTATAGCAATAGTGGCATATGCAGCATATAGTCAATGTTGTATCCTAAAACTGTTGTGTTTTTAAGTGCACAATACTGATTTTTAATGCTGGGCTTGAAGTTTTTAGGTATTATTTTCCAACAGCACCATATTCACACTTGATGTTGGGGTCTTCTGGGTGAAACACGTCAAATTTGCATGTGCTGTAATCATACTTCACAGTGCAGCCTTCAGTTTTGATTATCGCTCGACCCATCCTACAACAACAACAAAAACAATATATGATCACTTTAGGGGACATCTTTTGACTTAGATGACTTACAACAACATGTAATCACAGAAATGCACTCTCATTTCTTGTGAATGCCACTGAAAAAAATGTGTTTTAAAGATACAGCATTTAAAACAAGCAGTCGTTGTCGTTCACTATTGAAATGCTACACTTTAAATGTACACTCACCGGCCACTTTATTAGGTACACCTTACTAGGACCCCTTTTATCCTTCAGAACTGCCTTAATCCTTTGTGACATAAATTCAACAAGATACAGCAAATATTCCTGAGATTTTGGTCCAAATTGACATGATGGCATCACACAGTTGCTGCAGATTTGTCAGCTGCACATCCATGATGTAAATCTCTCGTTCTACCACATCCCGAGGCTGCTCTATCGGATTGGAATCTGGTGACTGTGGAAGCCGTTTGAGTTCAGTGAACTCATTGTCATGTTCAAGAAACCAGTCTGAGATGATTCATGCTTAATGACAAGGCGCGTTATCCTGCTGGAAGTAATCATCAGAAGATGGGTAGACTGTGGTCGTAAAGGGATGGACATAGTCAACAACAATCCTCAGGTAGGCTGTGGCATTGACACAATGCTCAATTGGTACTAATGTGCCCAAAATGTGGCAAGAAAATATCCCCCACACCATTACACCACCACCAGCAGCCTGAACTGTTGATCCAAGGCAGGATGGATGTTGTTGATGCCAAATTCTGAGCCGACCATCCAAATGTTGCAGCAGAAATAGACTCATCAGACCAGGCAACGTTTCTCCAATCTTCTATTGTCCAGTTTTGGTGAGTCTGTGAATTGTAGCCTCAGTTTCATGTTCTTAGCTTACAGGAGTGGCTCCCGGTGTGGTCTTCTGCTGCTGTAGGCCATCCGCCTCAAGGTTGGACGTGTTGTGTGTTCAGAGATGCTCTTCCTTGGTTGTAACGAGTGGTTATTTGAGTTACTGTTGCCTTTCTATCAGCTCAAACCAGTCTGGCCATTATCCTCTGACCTCTGGCATCAACAAGGCATTTACGCCCACAGAACTGCCGCTCACTGAATATTTTCTCTTTTTCAGACCATTCTCTTTAAACCCTAGAGATGGTTGTGCGTGAAAATTCCAGTAGATTAGCAGTTTCTGAAATACTCAGACCAGCCCCTCTGGCACCAACAATTATGCCACGTTTAGTCACTTAAATCCCCATTCTGATGCTCACTTTAAACTGCAGCAGATCGTCTTAATCTTGTCTACACGGCTAAATGCATTGAGTTGCTGCCATGTGATTGGCTGATTAGAAATTTGCGTTAACAAGCAGTTGGACAGGTGTACCTAATAAAGTGGCCGATTAGTGTTTATATTAGTTTTAAGGACAACTATATGCTTGTGTGCTACACAGAAGTGACAAAATGAATCGTTAGAGGATATAAGCTTAATGAGACACCACATATTTCAGTTTTTTTAACAAATATTCTGACCAATCAAAAGCTCTCTAGTGTCTGGCATGCCCCACCTTCTTCAAGACATTTCTCATTAGCTTTTCATTTGAAGCACTTAAACCACTTTTACTGGCAGAACTGTGAGACATCAAAAGGCTATTGGCTGTTTTTTTTTTTTTTTTTTTTTACAGATTTTAAAAGGAGGAGCTGCTTTGTCTTGCCCTCTCTTTGTGTTTTAGTTGAGAAGATGTCATTAAGTTTGGATTAAAAAAAAGCATATTTCAATGCACTTCACGGGACCTTTAAGAGTCATTATATGTGATTTGCTAATTATTTAGATCGTCTTTAAAAAATGGTTAAAGTTTAACAGAATGTACTGATAAACATGTATAAATTACTAAAATGATTATATATCTGTAAATGAAGAAGTTGGATTTTAAAAAAACTTCAACTTCAAAAATAAACCACAACAATGGTAAATTTCTTACGTGTCGCAGCATTCCATCTCAGTGGAGGAGCAAATACATCTGAGGCATTTGCTGTTTATCCAAGTGCTTCCCAGCTCATGACGGGTTTGATCGTCGCCATCCTCACAATATTTTGCTCCTGTTTAAATTCAATAAATGAGTTTATTTTAAGTACAGCATTTACTTACCCAAATATAAATCATTACTGAAATATTTGTTGAAGTGAAGTAGTTGGATTTACTACTCTTATACACTGTTAAAAGTGATTAGTTACTTTAAAAAAAAGTAAGTATACCTCTTCCCTTAAAAGCGACAAGCTTACAAAAGAAGTGAGTAAAATTATTCTGTTGCCTTAAAATTATTACACTGACAAAAATGTTTCAAAGATGATTCCTTGGATTTAGAAAATTTTCTTTAGTTAGTAAACGATTTATTTGGGCTGAATTTAAATAAAGTGCTTTTTAAGTTGAACATGATTAAATTTAATTTGTTTGCTTAAACTCAACATAAATAAATTGTTTGCAAAAATTTTGCAGATATCTATTTTTTCAGTGGAAGTGAAGTATGTGCATAGTTATAAAAATAAGTTAAGTCAACTTAACAATTCCAACTTAACAACAGCTTAACACACTTTAAGTCAACTTGTCACCTTAAACGCAACAGGTTTACTCACTTTTTTTAAGTCAACTTGCCACTTTAAACGCAACAGGTTTACTCACTTTTTTTAAGTCAACTTGCCACTTTAAACGCAACAGGTTTACTCACTTTTTTAAGTCAACTTGTCACTTTTAACGCAACGAGTTTAAACTTTAAGTAAAGTCAACTTGTCACTTTTAACGCAACAGGTTTACCCACCTTGTAAGGCAACTTGTCACTTTTAACGCAACAGGTTTACTCACTTTTTAAGTCAACTTGTCACTTTTAACGCAACAGGTTTACTCACTTTTTAGGTCAACTTGTCACTTTTAACGCAACAGGTTTACTCACTTTTTAAGTCAACTTGTCACTTTTAACGCAACAGGTTTACGAACTTTTTAAGTCAACTTGTCACTTTTAACGCAACAGGTTTACGAACTTTTTAAGTCAACTTGTCACTTTTAACGTAACAGGTTTACTCACTTTTTAAGTCAACTTGTCACTTTTAACGTAACAGGTTTACTCACTTTTTAAGTCAACTTGTCACTTTTAACGTAACAGGTTTACTCACTTTTTAAGTCAAATTGTCACTTTTAACGCAACAGATGTACAAACTTTTTAAGTCAACTTGTCACTTTTAACGCAACAGGTTTACCCCCTTTGTAAGGCAACTTGTCACTTTTAACGCAACGAGTTTAAACTTTAAGTAAAGTCAACTTGTCACTTTTAACGCAACAGGTTTACTCACTTTTTAAGTCAACTTGCCACTTTAAACGCAACAGGTTTACTCACTTTTTTAAGTCAACTTGTCACTTTTAACGCAACAGGTTTACGAAATTTTTAAGTCAACTTGTCACTTTTAAGGCAACAGGTTTACGTAATTTTTAAGTCAACTTGTCACTTTTAACGCAACAGGTTTACTCACTTTTTAAGTCAACTTTTCACTTTTAAGGCAACAGGTTTACTCACTTTTTAAGTCAAATTGTCACTTTTAACGCAACAGGTTTACTCACTTTAAGTCTACATGTCACTTTTAAGGCAACAGGTTTACTCACTTTTGTAAGTAAAGTAACTTGGTTTTTTACAGTGTGGCTTATTATTATAAGAAAAAAGTCCTGTGGTGTGACATGCTGCATTTCAGATAAAAAACACTTCGATCATTATAGCACAAGTTTGTTTGAATGTATAATAAATTACAATTGTAATAAATATACATTTTCTTTTGCACACTTTTATACATTTTGATATTTTAACCAAATATTTGTTTGGCTTGAAATGTGTGTGTGTGCGTGTGTGTGTGTGTGTGTGTGTGTGTGTGTGTGTATTTACCTTCTTTTTGAAGTTTGAGAAAACAGTAAGAATCACTGAGAGACACAAAGGCACACAGTATTAAAACCAGAGTCAACGATGCCTGTAAAAAGTTAAAAATATATAGAAATTATTAATAAACAAACAAACAAAAAGTAAAATATATGTAAAATACACTGTAAATCCTGGGGTCCACACAATTATTATTTGTTTTTACAAATTTAAGTGGATTGAGCATAAATCAATTAAGTTGCCATGCAAAAAAACAAGAATTGTGTTTTAGCTCACTTTAAATAAGTAGCTTGAACAAACAGCAAACGTCAATTTGTTTTGTGTATGACACTTGTAAAATATATGTAAAAGACAGAAAATATATGTAAAAAAAAACATGTAAAAGACAGTAAAAATAGTAAATATGCACTCATAAATTCTGTATTGATCAGTAATTACTGAACTCACCATTGTTTGGAAGTTGAGCACAGATGCAGGACTGATGAAATGCAGTTTTTAAGCAGATTCTGTCTATTTACACTAGTCAGATAAGGGGCGGAGCATCTCATTTTAACCCAAACTGTTCATCAGTTTTACTTTATTGACTTCAACTAGTCTCTGGACTTTTGCACTTTGTAGCAGCAAAATACTTTTCAGGTAGGCAATGCAAACAAGACGGGCTCTCATGGTCAGCTCCTTACTGTTGACTATTTGAGTACATGCTAAATTCATGTAGCTACACCGTGTGAATATTGAACTTGTGACTGTATGGTTGTTTCTTGTTGAATGTGTGGCAAATTGTGAAATCCTTGTCTAAAGCCAAACATTTTCATCGCTGTTTCATCACCTCCTATCAGCAGATGTTTCCTGATCTTCTATTAAATTTCTCAATTATGTTATGATTGTGAAAGCGTCGAGTGATTTCTTCATGGTGTATTAACAAACTGTTTTTGCTCTAATCAATGATCAAAATATTGCATATAAAAGTCTTTCTCACTGTGTTTTCTGTGGTGTCAAATGTAAATAAACAATGTTAAACTACAATATGTGTGTTTTCTATTAGTTATTCATTTGCAGCCATATAAAGTAAACCCAGAGATCTTAGGACAGGGGTGTCCAAACTCGGTCCTGGAGGGCTGGTTACTGCATAATTTAGCTCCATCTTCCTTTAACACACCAGCCTGGAAGTTTATAGTATACCTAGAAAGAGCTTGATTAGCTTGTTCAGGTGTGTTTAATTGGGGTTGGAATTAAAATATGCAGGACACCAACCCTCCAGGACCAAGTTTGGACACCCATGGCTGCGTCCGAAACCGCATGCTTCTATACTATATAGTACGCTAAATCAGTATGCGAGCCGGGTATGTCCGAGTTCATAGAATTTGAAAATCAGTATGAGAAGTACCCGGATGACTTACTACTTCAGGCGAGATTTTGGAGTGGCAATCCCATACATGCTGCGCTATCCCATGATGCACCGCGAGCGAATTCATGAATGGAAGTGAGGCGACGCAACTGACGCAGGTAGGTCAAGTGACCATAACAAAATGGCGGATGTAGTACGTCCGAATTCCATTCATACTTTTCACATTCACACTGTATAGAACGTACTTTTCTAACGGCCGAGTAGTACGTTTAAATTCAAATGCACTACATATTGAGTAGTAGGCGGTTTCGGACGCAGCCCATGTCTTAGGAGAAATTTTACACCATACAGACTATTAGTTTTTGTTTCCTGAACTTTCGGGAGACTTGGGATGTCTGGAATGACCTCCCTCCCTACTCATAATTCTCTCTTTATACAGCCGTAGGCCTATTACTAGGGCCAGACAGAATCTGCGGACGTTTTTTGCTATTTCTGCGAAGAATTTTGGTAAAAATCTGCGGATTTCTGCGGAATTATTTTGGGAGTATCCAGTGGAGTATCATAACTTACACCTTAATATATTAAATAAAAAGTAATAAATTACTGAATAAAAACTGAATAAATTCAGATTTACACATTTACTCAAGTAAATAAACAGAATTAATAATGGGCTAAAAATCTGCAGAAATCTGCGGAATTCTGCTGAAAATCCGTGAAATTCTGCGCGCGAAGATTCCGTGTGGGCCTACCTATTACATATCCATAAAACACTGTGATATAACCGGGCTCGGATCGTATTGCTTTCTCACTACAATCGATCCGCTCCAGAGTTTGTTTCAATCGAGCCGAGACCACCTCATTCAAGCGATCTCGGAGCGATTATTTTGGCGCGGATCTGAGCGCAAATGGTGGATCCACATATGCCAAACGAACCGCGCTAACTGGGCAAACGAGACAGGTTCCGAAACAAAAGTCTAGGTGTGAAAGCACCCTGAGTGTTCTGACTGGCTGAAGTAGACGTCTCATGTCAGTGCGTTCTAGACGTGCACGTGCTTTTTCCGGCAATCTTCCTTCTGCGTTCACAGCATTCCGGCAAATTAACAGTATGTTACAACTTCTCTTTCCGGAAAATAGCTTTTATTTTCAAAAGCCTGTTCACACATATTTACAGACCTTTCCGGAAAGGTCTGTATGTGTGAAAGGGGCTACTGTGTAAAAGGGGCTGTTGGTTGTAGAAGGCTAACATGGTTTTTGGGCCACTGGCTGGGTCCGAAACCACCTACTACTCAGTAGGTACTGCATTTGAATTTAAACGTACTACTTGGCCGTTAGAAAAGTACGTTCTATACAGTATGAATTTGAAAAGTATGAAAGGAATTCGGACGTACTACATCCGGCATTTTGTCATGGTCACGTGACCTACCTTCATCAGTTGCGTCGCTTCATTCGCATTTATGAAATCTCTCGCGGGCATGCATAGGATGCGCACTTCAGAATCTTGCCAAGAGTAGTAAGTCATCTGGGTACTTCTCACATAATTATTTTTCGAATTCCATGAATTCAGACATACTACTCAGCTCACATACCGATTCATCTAATCTACTAATTCACTAATTTATTCTCTCATACATCAGATCCTTTTTAATCCCATCTTAAATTCTTGAAATTATTTAATATTTAGATTTTTTTAAGTGTGTGTTTATTAATATGTATTTATGTATGTATCATAGCATCCTTGCATAAAATTATTATAAATAAAATTCCAAATTATCTCTTACATTTTTTAAATCCTTTCTGAAAGTCTTCATATCACCATTGCGTTTAGCTTTTCTTTTATTCTTTCAGGGAACAGGATTGTAAAAAAAAAAAAAGTATTTGTTGTACTCTCCCATTCACTGCGCAAGTTTACCCAACGATGACGACTTCTGCTACTGAGAAACCCGGAAATGCGAAAAGGGCACAATGACGTCAGAGCAGCAGTGTACACGCAGGCGCAAGTTTCCGGCATTAAGGCGCATGCGCACAAGCAGTCTGAACTGTTGCTCGGTAACTACCGGGAATTAGCGGCTTTTCTCCACCAAATTTGAACCACCGACGCTACCGGAGGAATTAAAAACCCGCATAGATGTGTTCACCGAGAGGATTTCAATTCTTGTCCTGAATTCACAAATCTCCGAGGATGGGTCTTAAATGAGGGCATCCGTCCCAGATGTAGCCGAACGGTGAGAGCATATGCCTGCGTTCACACACATATTCTAAATACTCAACCGATAAACACACCTGACAGCGTTTTAGTCAGGACAGTCTACCTCTACATAACCTTAAAAACATATGTCAGTGAAAACGTGATATTCGTTTATCAATGAAGCTGTTCTCGGCCTGGGAAGCGCACAGCTGATTATTAAACGTTAACAACGGTCGTGTTTCAAAAGCTAGCGAGCTTCCCTACCTAGACAGCATCTTAAGATCTCAAATTATGCGACTCAACGTGGTTTTAGAAGGACAAGAATGTAACCCATATAGGCTACAGACTGAGGTAAAGTTCGTTTTATTCATTCGGACTTTACTTTTTATGAATATAATTTCAGAAAAGTAACGTTATTGTTTGTAAATGCTACGTCAAATAGTGAGGTAATATTAGCAGTCATCGACTAGTAAAGTACATCGTTATTTACAGTTAAATAAGTTGTTTTAATGTTATTCTTAAATGTAATTTCAAACCTAATATTCAAAGTAACACGTTAAACAATATAGGGAGGGTGTCACAAGTTATCTCTGAACGAATGTGTGAATGTAAAACCAACTTTACCTCAGGTACAGACTAAATAGTAAACCAACTAGACAAAGTTGAAAGCGTCACATTTCGTTCTCGTTTTTGCTGATTGTTGCTGTTTTTTTTTTTTTTTTTTTTTTTTTTTGCTTCCTCTTGTCAGGACCTGCCACGTCTCCTCGATTCACCTGCACACGTGTGATAGACCCTGATGATGATGCCTGGGGATATGACGTCATGGAGGAATACACCTGGACAGATACAAGGTTGCCAGTAAAGGGTTGATTGGACTCCTCTTCATACACTCCAGCAATGGGAAGGCGAGTACAAAGCTGAATTGAGCCTAAGTTGGCTCTATATTCGCATATTCAGACTTTAATGATGTGTTTTCAGAAAAGCATTCTTAGGAATTTTCTAAATAGGGAAATCATGTTTGCAGTCAATGGACCCTTCTCTAAGCCCCGCCTTCCTTAGTTACTGTTGCTACGCCTGTCAAGCTTTTGTGCCTGGCACAGCTTTTTCAATGTGTGTGTGCGATATAATGTCATTTTTGGCGAACAGGTGAGATATCCGAGAAAGCCAGACAAAAAAAAACTGCAGTATGCATTACAGGGTAAATGTTATTTCTATTAAAAGCACATGAAGGTCAGCAAGTCAATAAATTTAGGCATGTAAATATGGTCAAGACAATCTGCTGCAGTTCAAACCGAGCATCAGAATGGAGAAAAAAGGTGATTTAAGTGACTTTGAATGAGGCATGGTTGCTAGTACCAGACGGGCTGGTCTGAGTATTTCAGAAACTGCTGATCTACTGGGATTTTCACGCACAACCATCTCTTGGGTTTACAGAGAATGGTGCGAAAAAGAGAAAATATCTAGTGATTGGCACTTCTGTGTGTGTAAATGCCTTGTTGATGCCAGTTGTCAGAGGAGAATGGCCAGAATAGTTCGAGTTGATAGAAAGGCAGCAGTAACTCAAATAGCCACTCGATACAACTGAGGTCTGCAGAAGAGCATCTCTGAACACACAACACAACCAACCTTGAGGCGGATGGCCTACAGCATTAAAAGACCACACCGGGTGCCGCTCCTGTCAGCTAAGAACCGGAAACTGAGGCTACAATTTACACAGGTTCACCAAAATTGGGTAATAGAAGATTGAAAAAAACTGGCCTAGTCTGATGAGTCTCGATTTCTGCTACAACATTTGGATGGTCGGGTCAGAATTTGGCATCAACATGAAAGCATGGATCCATCCTGCCTTGTATCAACAGTTCAGGCTGGTGATGGTGGTGTAATGGTGTGGGGGATATTTTCTTGCCACAGTTTGGGTCCATTAGCACCAATTGAGCATCATGTCAACGCCACAGCCTACCTGAGTATTGTTGTTGACCATGTCCAGTCCAATAGAGCAGCTTTGGGATTTGTTGGAAGTGGAGATTCGCATCATGAACGTGCAGCCAACAAATCTGCAGCAACTGTGTGATCCTATCATGTCATCTTCTGATGGCTACTTCCAGCAGTTCCAACCCAGTACAAGTAAGTTGTACCTAATAAAGTAGCCCATGAGTGTATGTTAACATCTGTTTGTTTTCCAAAGTGACTAATTGCAGAGTTATGGGATTGGAAAAATATCAGTCTGTATGCATTTCTTTTTAAATGAGAAAAATGAACATGTGATATTGATGTGACCAAAACGGTCAGCCAGTTTACAATGAACAACATACTTTGTAGATATTCTGTGAATTAAACTGCACCATCCCCTCACCCAAAAAAAAAACCCAGCTAATAAAGAAGATAATAGTTGGCTCACTATAGTACAAAAATTGATATAATTTTATTTTGCATTTATGAGGGAAAAGCTTGGTTATGGATGTGGCACCTCTCCGTTATGAATGTGACAGGTGTGAACTTGCCACTTGTGTGACTGGTGAATCAAATATAATTGTTTAAAAACATAGACAAAGACATTTTAAATGTTTTTGCAGTACTGTAAAATACAAACCTATACAAAAAACTAGAAAGGCTTCCGCTATTTTAGTGAAAACCTTATTTTTTTCATGGGAAGTTTGACTTTTGCATGGAATTGCTCAAATGGTGACATTTGTTTTTGGGTGAACTGTCCATTTTAAAGCATTATTTTCTGCATACTGTACATTGGGCCATACCCACCACTCTCAGCTTCTAAAACTACTTTGATCACAAATGGTTAATAAAGGCATCAGATTGAACCAAAAGCACACAGCATTTGCTCTCACACTACAGTTCACTGAAGCCTCACCTTTTTTCCATTTGCCTTCAGGTTGGCATTGTGCTGATATTTCAAATTGTGATGTTAACAGCAGTGTTCAGCTCAATTCCTGCAGGGCAACTGCTTCAGCCTTAATTAAACACAACTAATCCAGCTAATCAAGTCATTCAGGCTTATCCGAACAATAATGCTGTGTTTATACTAGTTCACAGTGTTTTACAATAAGAAATGATCCACATCCATGCTGGCAAACTACATTTAAGGGGACCGTTCATCCAGAAATTTACATTTTTACACCATTTAGTCTCTTTCCTGTGATTCAAAATGTTTATGAATTACTTTCTTGTTTTGAACACAAAATGAGATAATCTGAAGAATGTTGGGGAGCAGCCTTTTAAGAGAAGATCTCTGTCCACACTACAAGAATGTAAATGAGGAACTAAAGGCAGTCATTAAATTATAGGACAGAGTTGTAGACTATATAGAAGTCAAAATTATTAGCCGCCTTGTTTTTTTGTTTGTTTTTTCATTTTCAAATATTTCCCAAATTATGTTTAATAGTGGTGTAACATATCACAAATCTTATGGTTTGTATCCCATTATGGTTTTTTAGTCATGGATTGGACCATTTTTCGGATGAGCCAAAAAGGGCAGAAGACAAATGTAATTTGCTTTCCATTTATTACAGAAACAGCAGTGTAAGAAACTTGGTTTTAGCAAACAGAACTTGGAACCTGTAATTATATTAAAAATAAAGTTAGTTAATCAGATGAATCAAAGTAAATCCTAAATTATTCTGTACTGTGAAAAATCCACTGTTGCTTATTACCCTAAATGTAGAAATCTAACATTATAATTTGTACAACACAATAATTTTCAGCCTCATTTTCAATAAATGATTCAGTTATTCACTCATTAAACTTTGTTTCATTGCTAGATGTGGCATTTTTGAAGACTTATTCAGTGGCATGTTTTTGATGGCTTGTTGTTGCCACCTATTGGTTAATGTAATTGCTGCCTACAACTTTTATTTTTTAGCGTTAAATACATATGACAGTGATTTAAATCTTTATTATAAGCATCAGTGGTTTTATTTAATCTATAAACTGTTCTCCCAGTACTTCTCTGTTTTTTGACTGTTTGTAGCTTCATAACGAACTCAAAAGACTAAAGACTGAATTAGGCATGGGCCGGTATAAGATTCTGATGGTATGATAACCTTGGATATAAATATTTCACGGTATTACGCTATAGAGATTACTTTGCTAAAATATATTCTCTTTAAATGTCTGGGTAAAAAACAAACCTTTTTTACCCCTTTGTACACAATATATTTTATTTTGAGAAACTTTTAAAATATTTTACAGCAGTAAACATGTCAGGCTAAATTATTCGAATAAATCATTGACTTCTGCTGTCTTCATTTGTGTCAAAAACGCAGATTTCTTCAATTCAAAGTGCCATCTTTGCAGATCTTTTCTGCTGGAGATACTGCTGTGCTAAAAAAAACAGACATAAAAAGGAAACCTTGACTTTTTTTTAAACCGCTGTGTACCTTGAACATTGTTATTGTCCCATGCCTAGACTGAGGGTGCTTTCACACCTGTGAATCGATTCAGTTGTTCCGAAACAGATTACAAATGTTACATTGTTGCTCTTGGAGCGGTTCGCTTTCACACTGCAAAGTTTCTAATCGGACCAAAAGAGCTAAAACAAGTCACGTGCGAGTAAACTCTCCTCACATTGGTCGGAGTGTCAGGGTTTATTTTGCAGCGTCCCGCTAAGCTGTCAGGAGAGGTGTGGTGGTTTGGTGGTGATTGACAGGGTGTGCGCGCGACGTGTCTGAGGAGAGATGCGGTGGGGAGGGGTGAGAAGGGTGCCTATTTTAGGACCGGGAGGGAAACGTGAGAATACCGGGAGATCATCACTCGTTTGCGGGCATCCGGAGACCAGCGAAACTTCCCGCCCTACTCATAATTCTCTCTTCATATAGCCGTAAGCCTATTACATATCCATAAAACACTGTGATATAACCACGCTCGGATCGGATCGCTTTCTCACTGCAATCGAACCGCTCCAGGGTTCGTTTCAATCGAGCCGTGACCACCACATTCAACCGATCTCGGAGCGATTACTTTGGCGCGGAACAGAGCGCGATTCCGAAACAAAAGTGTAGGTGTGAAAGCACCCTAAATCTCTTTTTATTTTTTCCGTTTTTCAAACTCAGATTTAAATGCAGCGATTCGAAGGATTAATAAACAAATTCAAATCAGCATCATTTATGTTGTGTGGTTGTTGAGATCCCGATCTTTTAATGATTAATCATGCAGCTTACACTGAATGCATTAATGCAGGCTGAACAAACTGTGACAGAAAACACCTTTAATAACCTAAGAAACCCACCACATCACGAATAACCCACCCACAACTTCTTCTGCCATCATTATATTTTACAGGAATGCGAGAGGCGATCTCTCTGTGATTGTTACAAATTTAGGATTAATCTACAAAAAATGTTTTAATCCACGGGTCGTATGTGTTCCAAACCGTGGGTTGTGATCCGTACGAATAACAGATCATCCATGATCCTTTAGCAAGGAATTTTTCACAGTTTTTTCTATAGTTTTTTTTCTTCTGAAGAAAGTTGTTTTATTTAATCTGGAATAAAATCTGTTTTTATTTTGTTTTTTAAAAACATTTTAAGGTCAAAATTATTATCCTCCTAATAATGGGCTAATAATTCTGAGTTTAACTGTATGCATTTTCATTTTAATAAAGGCAAGTCAAACATGCAACAAAAATAGCTTTCTCCACCTCATGTCTCTATTTTATCCAAGCCTAGAGGATCCGGTAACCATAGTGATAGATTTCTCATCATTATTCATTTGTTTCTTTATTCATATGCTCCACAGGATTAGCATTTCCTGCCTGTTTCCAGCATCCTGGCACTTCAGCCTGTCTCCGGTGGTTCTACCCCGGTTCCTGTTGCCCTCCTTCAGGCAGCTGCTTCTCCTGGGTCTGCTGGCAGGCGTGATGGGACTGCTGTACCTGCTGCTGGTCACAGGAAAGGGCCAGTACAGCTGGTTAAGAGAGGACAGGCACATCCACACGTAAATCTCTTCTATTTTAATTTGAACCATGAAGGCAGGGTGGGGCATAGAGTAGCTCCAGTGCCTCATAGATTTAAAAATATACTTGCGGTGGTAGCTGGATTGAAACACAACATGTACCTACGTTACATAAATAGCTAATGATATGGGACAAACATAACAATAAAATTTTCTACAATTTTTATTTATTATGACATTGTTATACACGGTTTCTTCTTAATGGGTTAAAGCAGGGATATCAAACTAAATTCCTGGAGAGCCGCAGCCCTGCACAGTTTAGCTCCAACCCTACTTAAACACACCTGAGCTAACTAGTTGAGTCCTTCAGACTTGTTTGAAACCTACAGGTAAGTGTGTCGGAGCAGGGTTGGAACTAAACTGTGCAGGGCTTCAGCCCTCCAGGATTTGAGTTTGACATCTCTGGGTTAAAGTAAAAAATTAAAAAAAAGACTGTTGAAAATAAAGAAAATCCACTATTTCTTTTACTTTAATGCTATTTAGGAGCCATGTGCACCCACTGACGGAGTAAAATCTGCAACTCTTTCAAGTTCAAAGCAAACTTGAATGCCAAAGAATTTTAGATGTGTAGATAAAATAGCCTATATAATATTTTAACATCATCAAATTAATAAAATAATCATCAAAAGAGAAATAAATGACAGAAAAAGGATTAAAACAGACAATATCTGAAAAAGTATAATAATTGCAAGATTAAAACGTTTAGATTATACATTAAGAGATTAAATAAGGCAAATGCGTTGATTAACCATTACTAATGGTGTACTAATGACCAGTCATTTCGTTCTCTCCGAGTATATACGTTTTTTCTGAGTCGTTCAGATTTAAGAATGAATTATAGAATCACGACTGTGTGCGTGATGTCAGCAAAGCCAAGCGAAAGTAGGCTCAAGTAAAAAGGTCATACAAAAACGCATATGATTAGTGAACGACACCTTTAGAAAGCAAAAGCCGAATCCCGGACATTTTACGAAATTTAGAAACCTGGTCAGATGAATTTAAGTGCCAAAAGGGAACATCTGGGTCTGCAGAGCACGTGAGAAGGACTGTGGGAGTGTTGACGGTTCACGCGCTGTCAACATGTCACTAAATGTACTTGGCTGAACGTTAATATACCTGGGTGGCCTGCCCAAGTATAGTCAATAGCCCCTTTTTCACACAGACCTTTCCAGAAAATTACCAGCAATTTTTCGGAAAGGTGTGTATGTGTGAACAGGCCCTCTTTGAAAATACCGGTAAATTCATTCCGGCTATTTTCCGGAAAGAGAAGTTGTAACGTTACCGGTAATTTGCCGCAATGCTGCACTGTGTGCGTCCACAGAGTTTGTAATGTAGTCAAATGTTCACAAATACAAGCGCAGCCGTTTAGAGCTCATCTCTGGTTAATGATGTCAGATTTTACCAGTATTTTGGAATGGATGTGTGAATACTCTTTTCTGAAAAAATTTCGTAACGTCCTCACCTGTGTGAGCAGCGCTTTTTTGAACTTTGTATTAAGTTACCGGTATTACTGTGTGAAAGGGGCCTATGTGTGGGAAGCACTGAGCTGCTCCTCCTTTAAAAAAAACAGCCAATAGCATTTTGTTTTATCACAGCTCTGCCAGTAATAGTGGTTGAGCTCAAGCACATCAAATTAAAAGCAAACGAGAAGTGTCTTGAAGGAGGCGGAGCATGTCAAATACTAGAGATCATTTGATTGGTCAGAAGATTTGTTGAGAAACTGAAGTGATTAAAAATCGTTGATCTATTTAGTCAGAAGTGACAAAACTGGAAGCTTTGGTTGTTTTATATCTTCTAAACGCAAACTAGCTTGTATAAATTCTTAAAACTAACATACTTAACATCTAAAAAAAAAAAAAAAACGTTATTTTAAATTCACTGGACCTGTGAAATATTGCCAATATTACTTGGTAAAACCTGTTGACACAATGTGGTCTTAATATGTATGGAAATAGTCTTGAAGTACTGAATTTAACTGCATGATTCCTGTATATATCCTACTATTAGACGTTTGGGTCGGGTTCCTGACATGGAGGCCACGGACACCAATAACCCCAACCTGAACTATGGGCTGGTGGTGGACTGTGGCAGCAGTGGCTCCCGTGTGTTTGTGTACACCTGGCCCCGGCACAACGGCAACCTGCACGAGCTCTTGGACATCAAGCAGATGCGCGACAAGCACCGGAAGCCTGTAGTGATGAAGATCAAACCAGGTCTGTATGGCGATGAAGAACGATTGTTTGGACCTTTATTTTTTTTATTCTCCGCCTGAATGTTGTTTCTGCTCTGTTCAGGTATTTCAGAGTACGCCTCCACACCAGATAAGGCCAGCGACTACATCAGCCCTCTGCTGAGCTTTGCTGCTCAGCACATCCCTAAAAACAAGCACCAGGAGACGCCTCTGTACATCCTCTGCACCGCTGGAATGAGAGTCCTGCCTGAGAGGTGTCTGATCACACACTCGCAGATATAAACCTTGTGTCAAATGCACAGCGTATGCTAACACTGTGTGTGTGGGTGTGTGTGTTTACAGCCAGCAGGAGGCCCTTCTGGAGGATTTAAGGACTGACATTCCTGTCAATTTCAACTTCCTGTTCTCCGACTCCCATGTGGAAGTTATCTCAGGCAAACAGGAAGGTATGACCCATCTGATCATCTTCAAGACCATCTCAATAGTAATTGGTTTATAAATTAGAGGTTTTCTGAATAAATGCAGAGCAAACCTTACAGACTCAAATGTTTGAACAATAGTGTGCACCCTAGCATCCACATAGCACCACGTTATTATTTGTCTCCCAGTTTTTCCCAACTAACTATTTTTGTCTATGATTGAATGTGTTGTAGTAATATTTATATATAATCTATATTGTAATATAGATCATCTAGGCAGTAATATTTAATAGTTATTTTTTATCCTAGGTAACTAGGGAAATTAGCTTAAAGGGCCAGGACACCCCCCACTTTCGGTTAAAGTCTACTTGAGAATTTTTTCAAAAGATGCATGATTAATGGGCGTGGAGCTCCGCGAGCATCGGGCAGGAGTGGGCGTGGCCAGCAGGGGAGAAGGGGAGCGAACAACTGTTGTTGACAGCTCACAAAATGAGACACAAACCGTGAGGAGACGCATGAGTTTATAGTTCACAAAGTTAAAATGCAAAGAAATAAATTTACATTTGTTATTCGTAATTTCATATACACATAACCACAATTTCTATCATTATAAAGATAAGTGCGTTCATGTAAAAACTTTAAATGAGGATTCTCCCTTGATCCCCGGGTCTAAATTATAGATCTGAATGCAGACTCGATGCAGCAGGTCTCCTGACCTGCATATTTTAACCATTAGCCCTGCTGGTAATAGAGGATTTAGGCAAACACAGCAGCACGGCGATGTGTCTGAATGTGAACGAACTCCTGATAAAAGACAGCGTCCGCCATTCTTCAATTCTCGCACTGCTCTCCCGACAAAAACGCTTGCTGCACACACACAGCTTTGCTGTATGATCAGCCCTGACAAGATCGCGGGGAAAAAACATGCAACAAACCCTGTGGATCATGGAAACAAACACATACGAGCCTTCATGAACGGCTACTGCGTGCCGTGGGTCCGTGTCTCACAGCTTGCTTGAAACTGGCAGGTCTGCCTTGCCTTCGGAAAGCACGTGCTCTCATGAATAGTAAAGCAGCCGGCTCTTCTCATAGGATAAGAAAACTTCGCTATGAATAATAATGAGAAACCGACGCGTCATCATTGCACTTGCAGTACTGCGCTACGTCGCCGATTTTGATCCGCCCCAAAAATCATTTTAAACCCGGAAGCTGAAATTAGCTGACAAAAGCTCAAAATTATCCAGTTTTCCCCACAATTAAAGCTGACAGGTGCTAACATTAGCCCCTTTCACACATACAGACCTTTCCGGAAAATTACCGGCAATTTTCCGGAAAGGTTGTATGTGTGAACAGGCCCTTTTTGAAAATACCGTTAAATTCGTTCTGGCTATTTTCCGGAAAGAGAAGTTGTAACATTACCGGTAATTTGCCGGAATGCTGCGCTGTGTGAATGCAGAAGGAAGATTGCCGTAATAAGCGCGTCCACGTCTAGAACGGGCTGACGTGAGAAACCTGCTTTAGCCAATCAGAACAGTCAGACGCATTCACGTGCGCGCGGTTTATGACAATAAAAGCCTTTGAATATTTTTTCCAGACACCTTTAGCTGCTAGATGTTAGTCAGATAATGTTTCTATGTTCCTTCTTAATGCTGTGTAAATAATTATCAATAAAATGTTTATGATAATCCGTTGTTTGTTTACCTTCAAGCTTTGTGTGCCCGTGAGCGCCCATAGCGCCAGCACACACACATATCATGAACATCTCGACATGCGAAAGTGTTTCTCTATGTTTTCATTAGAGTTGTACTCAATACTGATCCATCCGAAGAGTTTGTAATGTAGTCAAATGTTTACAAACACAAGCGCAGCCGTTTAGATGTCATTTCTGGTTAATGATGTCAGAATTTACCGGCATTTTGCGATGGATGTGTGAACGCTCTTTTCCGGAAAAATTCCGTAACGTCCTCACCTGTGTGAACAGCGTTTTTTTGAATATACCGATAAAGTAGTTCCGGAAATTTTCCGGATATTTACTGGTATCACTGTGTGAAAGAGGCTATTGTCTTAACTGATGCTCAACACACACATATCTGTTAATAATAAAAAAAAAAAAAATTCACCAGGGTGTCCTGAACCTTTAACTAGGTAAGTCGATTGTTATTTCTAATCTAGTTTTGGAAATGAACAAGCCGACAAAGCCACCAAAACAGCCCTTACAGGAAAGCTAAAGGAGTCCCACCTTCGGATCTGAAGCCACTAATAAAAGGCTTTATTCAAAACAAATGGCAAGCAGAATGGGATCAGTTCTCAGAAAATAAACTTTTTGAAATTCAGTCAGAGAGAGGAAGAAAATCTAATTCATTTTTTTAATTCAAGACGCAAGGAGATTGTTTATAGAAGATGCCACATTGGACTCACGAGACTCGCACATGAACATTTACTTAAAGGAGAAGAACCACCAAAATGTCAATATTGCAAAAGAAACCAAACCGTTAAACATATTTTTGTGGAATGCCTGATTTTTTTAATGTTATCAGACAACTTTTTTTTTTCTGGACAGACTTTAAATCAAATATCTTTAAATGTGAATCCTTTTAAAAATGTGCAATTTTTATCAAAAGTTTTAAATTTTTATTTGATATATTATTCTTATTTTTATTTATGTATTTAATCTTGTGTGTTATTTATTGCTGTTGGTGACTTTTAATTATACTTTGGTGACTTTTAACTATAGAAAAGTGGTATTTATAAAATGTGGTAAACTTGATCTGTTATTTGTTTGCCAAAGAAGCTGAAATGGCAAGAAACTCAAAATTCTCTCTCACATAAAATAAGAATTTCTTCAGAAGAAAAAGATAACAGTAAATGCTGTGAAAGATTTCCTTGCCCTGTTAAATGTCACTTGATGAAAATATTTGAAAAGTAATATGAAGTGCACAGGAGGGCTAAAATGCCTTTAACTGTAGGCTATGTGTAATTATATTTTTATTTTTTTGCAGGAGTTTATGCATGGATTGGCATCAATTTTGTCTTGGGCCGATTTAATCATGTTGAGGATGGTAAGTTACCGTGCTAGTTTCTATCTTTTAACATTTCAAAGCTGAGTAGTATATTGATTTATTACAATAGGTTTTTTATATATATATGTGTGTGTGTGTGTGTGTGTGTGTGTATATATATATATATATATATATATATATATATATATATATATATATATATATATATATATATATATATATATATAATTTTTTTTTTTTTTTTTTTTTTTTTTTTTTCCCCAGCACATTTCTAAACATAATAGTTTTAATTGCTTATTTCTATGAACTGATTTATTTTATCTTTGCCATGAATACAGTAAATAATATTTTTCAAGACACTTCTATACAGCTTAAAATGACATTTAAGTGCTTAATTAGGTTAACTAGGCAGGTTAGGGTAATTAGGCAAGTTATTGTATAATGATGGTTTGTTCTATAGACTGTCGAAAAAATAAATAGCTTAAAGGGGCTAATATTTTGTCCTTTAACATGGTTTTTAAAAAATTAATAACTGATTTTATTGTAGCCAAAATAAAACAAATAAGACTGTCTGCAGAAGAAAAAATATCATCAGACATACTGTGAACATTTCCGTAATCTGTTAAACATCATTTGGGAAATATTTTAAAAAGAAACAAAAATTCAAAGAGTGTATAATACTTCTGACCTCATCTGTATATAATAAATGCATCTTTTTTCTATTCTTTTCCTCTTCCCTTCAGAGCACGATGCAGTGGTGGAGGTGCAGGTTCCTGGCAGTGACCAGCAGGAGACGCTGTTGCGCAAGCGTACAGCTGGTGTTTTGGACATGGGTGGCGTTTCCACTCAGATCGCATATGAAGTGCCCAAAACTGTAAGCTTTGCTTCTCCACAACAGGTTATTATCTATGACAATTTCCCGTATTTTCTTTTGAAAGCTGAAAGTCTGGCTTTGTCATTCTCTGCTTCTGGTTCTCCTGGTGCTCTGGTGTGCTTCTTCACCCGGTGCAGTTTCACGCCACGGTGAATCAGCTGAGTTAGCCTTGGACTGAGATAAGCCTGCTGCATGGTGCTATAGCTCTGAAAACAACACTCTCAGCTTTTAAAGGGGACTATTTTTTTAACACTTTTGCAATGCATTGGATTTTGTTTTGTCTGCTTTTAATATTAAGTTTCTCATGCTGAAAAGACCAGATTTTGTTCAGTTTGCATTTGCATTCATCTAAATTCTTATGTTCGCATTGGGAGTCGTTCGTATAGTCTCATTGTTGGGATGCACATATCTAGACTGGCAAAAAACGAAATAAGAAAAACAGACTATTGTTGTTATAAACTCACGATATACGTATTTTTGTTTGTTTGTTTGTTGTTTTCGGAATTCATTTCTGTTTAGCCTAATTGTTTGTCGCTTGAATCTTGTGAGTTGTTAGCAGACTGTTCTAGACTTTAACATGTAAATAACACTATATATATATATATATATATATATATATATATATATATATACACACCAAATATATGAAGGTAAATCACTATCAAAATGTGAGAGCTTGCTGAATTTGAATGTGAGAACTTGTCTTATTAATATTTGTATTTGTTGTTATTTTACTACTATTAAAATACTATTCAGGGTGACACAGTGGCTGAGTGGTTAGCACTGTCGCCTCACAGCTAGAAGGCGAGTTGAATAAATTAAATTGGCCGTAGTGTATGAGTGTGTATGAATGTTTCCCTGTACTGGGTTGCAGCTAGAAAACCATCCGGTGTATAAAACATATGCTGGATAAGTTGGCGGTTCATTCCGCTGTGGCGTTCCCGAATTAATAAAGCAACTAAGCCGAAGGAGAATGAATGAATACAACTAGCCGTATTAATATATGCAAGTAGAAATTTAAACTCAGCTCTGATGTGAAATGCTCAATCTCTCGATTTGCACACATAGAAAATAATCAAAACAGTTTGGATTTTGACATAGTTCTAACTAATAATCTGCAAATTAAATGTCATTTGACAAGCGTTTCACATCAGAGCGGAGAGTGTAAAATTCAACTCACAGATACAAATCTCAATCTGAGGTGCATTTTCCAAAACCATCGTTAGCCAACTAAGGTCGCAAGTTCCGTCGTTACAAACATAGCTTGTTGATTTGCTGTTTCTCAAATCTGTCGCTTCAACAAACATTCGCAAACTGCGTCACAAACTCGCAACTACAGCTAACATAGTTCCTAGCTGAGTTCTATTCCCACTTATCCCCCCTATGCCTACTCATTTAGAACATTTTAACATTCAAAGCTGGAATTATTAAAAATAAAAAAGCATTAAGGTCATCTCTCTTAGGTGTAATTTGCTTTCAAACTATTTTTACAGTTCAGTTTTAGCGATCTTCATGTTTACAATTGTGCTCCCTTCGTAGTGCACTTTGAAAACATTGATGTCATTTTGAACACAGCCTCATGGCGAAAGCTATAGGTGACCCATTATTTATGTTACGTCTCTAAAGCTTGTGAAAACAAAAAGCATATGTTAATTTTTTTAATTTATAGTAGGTTATTTATTAAGTATCTGTACTGTATATGACACGGGCCTGCTGATTAGAACTTTCTGCAGTGGTTTACATGTGTCAAATTGTAAAAGTAGACTTTTCAAAAAAAGAAACAAACAATATCCTACTTAATAATAATAATAATAATAATCATCATCATCATCAACTATCTATTATTAAAGTATGGTTTTTTATTTTCAAATAAATAATAGATAATACATTTCATTTTATAATAAATATAATTTATTTCATTATTTATTTATATGATTTATATGATATTAGAATACGTATTAGCTTGTAAGTGATATGTTTTAGAATCGAATATGTAATGTTCAACTTCTCAATAATACTGGTAAAGGAAACATAGGCTCTAGATGTGCTGTGTACATATATTTCAGTTAATATAGAGAGCGAGTGCATGTTTTTACCAAATCTTATATTGGATTCTATTTTAAATGCTTGTTTGTGTGAAACAATATCATTTACACAAAGAAATTATGGGTTTTTGTCTAAAGAAGTAGTTACTCCGCCCAGTTTCGAGCATCATTATGAGCATTATACATTATAACTAACATGGTTCTAGATGGATCTGCGACAGAGAAACTAGGAGTTTTGGGGAACACTCGTCACTACATTGTTCTTTTCTCAAACGATGCATCGTACTATGATAGTTCAGCCTCGAGTTACGTCATTGTTTGGGAAACACACCCCTGGATAGTTTTCTCAGATTGGCAGGCTTTCAAATTTTGTTATGCGTTTAATTTTATACAAATAACATGTAAAACAATGTAAACTGCAACTGAGCAGAAGTCATGCCAGCATGTTCATTTCAGCATATTATGCGTGATTGTGTTTTTTATCTTCTCATTATAATATTTGACTTAATTCTGTTATGTTTAATTTTAGAGGAAAACGCCTCAGCACAAATCCTGATGGCCTCTAATCTGACATAACAGGATGCTGCTGGAATCGAATGCATTCAGAATAAAGCGTTCAATGCTTCCATCGTGCTCTTCAGTGTTTTTGGTGTTGGTGTTATTGAAGGAATGTTCTCGGGAGACGGGCATGAATCTGTTCTGTCGATTACTAGTCTCTCATTTTATACAAAAACAAATGAAAATCAGTAATGAACATGCAGTGGAAGTCTGAGGTCAAAATAATAGTGTTCAAAAATTAGCATTCGAAGCCCTCTGCTTACCAAGGCTACATTTATTTAAGCAAAAATACAGTATCATTAATATTGTGAAATGATTTAATTATTAATGTTTTGATAAATTTATTTAAAATTCAGAAATTATTTTACTATTTATTGTCAGTTTACATGGCGAGTACGTCTACATGGACACCATTAATCCCATTTTAATAAGATACTCTTACAAATAATAAAATACTCTTACAATACTCTGATTAAGAGTCTACCATTTAAACAGCAGTTTTTAATTAAAATAATCCAATTAAGGTCATAATCAAACTAAACTGAAATTGGATTAAGACATGTGGATTATGCCGATTTTTAGTGGCATTATTGAAGTGCAGTACAGATGTAAACAGCAATCAAACGTGTAGGATTTTCACCGCATTTTGCGGCAGGATAGTCTATACACAGACAACTGTTTGACGCTATTCTCTGCACCTACTGAGTTAGAGAAGGACCACCGACACGTGCATCACGGAATGCAAGATTTTTCCCATACGTTCTGAATGAAAGTGAAGGTGCCAAACTGCAGTTAAAGTCAACAAATTCAAAATGCAACAACCGAAATGACATGAAACTCTGGAGGAAATGTCAGTAGTGTGGTGAAGCAATGATGTTAATCAATCTGTATGCTATAACATGTACAACGGGATCATGAAAGGAACATGTAAAGAGTAACTCGTGTAAACACCTTAATCATATTATTGTCTTATTCAGATTAAGGCTAATAATTTGATTTCTGATGTCCTTGTAAACGTAGTCACTGTTGAAAAAGATCCATTGTAATGTTTTGTAGAAACTATGCATTATTATTTATTTTAAAATTAACAAAGTTAAGAAAAGTTACATTTTTTTGTACCACCATTAATGTTTTTCAACATGTTTTATCTATTTAATGTATCGTTTCTTTTATTTTGTTTTGTACTGTAATTGACCGATAATGACTACAGAAAATGAGTACTATTTTTACTGCTAAATAATAATGACATTTTGATTGTTTACATTTTTCTTAGAATTAATTGAAGTGCTTTTTACCTTTTAAAACAATTTACTGCTTGACTTCCATTGTAAGTACATTACTGTAAATGTCATTTATTATCTACTATCAGCAACATGCCACAGAATGATTTGGTTTTGAACCATGAACATTCTTTCAAATGTCATCGTGCAAATATTAAGGTTATTGCAGACTGAATCTGAAATTTTTGTCCATAATTTTTGCAGGTTAAAAAATAAATTCAAGCTCACGTTGTGTGAATCGTATTGACACACTGCCTACGAAGCTTTCATCCATCATAGAATAATTAACTTTTTTTTCTTCTGTTTTTCACATCCGAAAAGCACTTTGAAAGGTGTTTTCTCAGTTCAGAGCCACCGTGCAAGCAAAAAGCTAAATACAGAATGCCGTCATTTGAGTTACAAATAACTTTGACAAACACAGTGCATAAAATAAAGACAGAATGTGGTGGACAGTCGAGAACCCCTGTATGCTAGGATTCAGTGACTGGTGTTTGGGGTTTGTGTGTGTCCATACATTTGACATACTGCCCATAGACGACATAATACAAAGCTCGACGCCTCATTGTCTGCTTCAGTCTGTTGCTCAGATGCGTCAACGCGGCCACAATCTATTATAATGTCTGTATGTACTGCCAGTCTCTGTTCAGGATTTGTTTACATACAGGAATGTGTGAATTATCTCAAGCAATGTTTTAAAATTCCACTGATTTCCTAAACTAAACTTTGCATTTAGGTATAATCCAGCTCAGATCTTTGATAAATGAGCTGAACTCTCCTTCCTCTCAATGCAGGATTGGATGAACACCGTATGTAGCCTATTAGAGGAGAACAAAGCATCTCTGCTTTAACTGAATTGTTTTGTGTTATTTTATAATGAATCAATTAATATGCAGCTGACTCGGTGTGCAAGGTTTGTTTATGTGACAAATTTTTCACATATTAATGCGAAAAACATACGAAAATTTCAGACTTCTGTGTGCAAAGACCTTTCTGCCGCTTGTAGCTTGATGTGCTGTGTCTGTGTCTATCCAGTCTTCTTCAGCTGTCTTATCTCTCTCTCTGTGCTGTTTTCTCCAGGAGGAGATAGCCAAGAATCTGCTGGCGGAGTTTAATCTGGGCTGCGACGCTCATAGAACAGAACACGTGTATCGGGTTTACGTCTCCACATTCTTGGGTTTCGGAGGAAATGCAGCCCGCCAGAGATACGAGGAAAACCTCATCAGCAGCACACAAATCCAGAACAAGTAAGATCAAAATTTAGGGTGCTTTCACATCTGTGGTTCGGTTCATTTGGTCCGGACCAAGCCGTCCGCATTTTCTGCCGTCTTTGGGTCCTTTTCACATCACACTGATTGCTTTGGTCCGATCCTAATTTCCATACATTACTTTAGACAAACTATACATTTCGAGAATGAAGCACTGCTGCAGCTGGAAAACAATGTTTTAATGCATTGCAAACAGTGAAGGCGCATTGCAAGTCACTTCAGGAGGCGGCATGAATTAATTTAGCTGTGACATTGTCATCTTCCGAAAATATTACCAACGATCCATCAAATCATGTTTTCTCTCTCTCTCTTTCAGTTTAAAAGTGTTGGTAAAGCGCTCTCAACAAATATTTTTCCTCATCGGCGCCAGTAGCCTAGTGGTACTGTGCGCAGCTGTATAGCACCGATGTGCTCACGGCGACCCGAGTTCGATTCCCGGCTCGAAGTCCTTTGCTGATCTTTTCCCTTGCTTTGCTCCCAATGCTTTCCAGTCCACTCTACTGTCCTATAATAATAAAGGTGAAAAACCCATAAAAATACTTATATAAAAATAAATTAATAAAATACATTTCTCCACATCTCATAATGCACAGCCCAGCAAACTACAGCAGCTGGATTAGTCCAAAAAGGTTTTGCGGCTGGGTCTGTTTTAGTTTGTATCATATTCCCACCACAAAAGAATCGTTCCAAGGTTCGTTTAAAAGTGTACCAAGACTCTTCAAGGAGGTCTTAGAACGCTTTTTTGGTCCGCTTTTGGTGTGGACTCGAGTGCGATTTGCTATATTCACTCCTTCCCAAACAAGCCGCACCAAGAGGGAAAAAAACCTCAATTCAACCAAACTAAATAAGGCAGGTGTGAAAACACCCTTAGTTAAAGTTGACATGGAAGGTGCACACTATCATTCAAAGGGTCTGAGTTGTTTTGTTTTTTGTAGTAATTAAATTGCAGAAGTCAGTTTTTTTCAGAATGTTTGTCGTTGGCTGTTTCTCAGCATGCGATCTTGTGTAACAAAGCAGCAAAAGTTCAGTTCTAAAACTCAAGAACGCATGAATGGAGGTCCCGAGGCAGAACCCTGATGTATTCTTGATATCGAGGATGCATTGATTGTGAACTTGAGTGCAGTACTCGCTAGAGAAGTCCCTGGAGTCATTGTGGTGGGAGTTTAGCGTTCTGATCTCTTGCGGTCTCCCTAGTTTGTTCTTCCGAGGTAACTTATCAAGATTGGTCTCAACAAAAATGCGAGTCCGTTCTCTGTGTTCTTGGAGTTGAGAAACATACTTTTTTGATCTGTGTAACCTCACCCACTACCCGATTACCCAATCATTACCCCATTAATGAGTATATACAGTGGGGAAAATTAATATTGAAGTAAACAATAATTGAAATAAGCAGCTGAAGTCTCTCAGTTCTTCAGCAAACCTCTACCCTGCCTCAGTATAAATGAATATTAGCAGCTTCAGTCCAACTTCTACACTAGCAGAAGGATTAGGATGAAACCAGGGTGGACTTTTCAGCAAGACAATGATCATAAACAAAGTAAACTCTCATTCTTTCAGAGAGAAAAAAAAAAGCTCAGAATGGCCTAGCCAATCACCTGACTTAAACCCAATAGGAAATACAAAAAAATGATTAGGATTGATAGACGAGACCCACAGAACCATTACGATTCTTACACTGTTGAAGTCTGTGAAAAAGTCACACCTGAGCAATGCATGTGACTACATTCTCCATATGAGAGGGGTCTTTAAGCTGCCATCACCAAAAAAACCTTTTATATAAAGTATTAAATACGCATTTCAGTACTTTCTCCTTGCCTTATTTCATTGTTATTACTCAACTAATTTTTCAGATTTGTTCCGTTTTATTTTTATGTCTGTATTGTTTGAGTTTTTACCAAAATCTGGTTCAATTGCATGTCAACGTCCATGTCAAGCTCCTTTTAAAAATATTATTTCCAGGAAAAAAACTTTGCGTTCAATACTTATTTCCCTCACTGTATGTGCTCCTGTTGTGTCCGTAGGCTGTTGAATCAGCATCAGGGAGAGAGCGCAGACTCGCCCATCCTGGACCCGTGTTTGCCTGTGGATCTTCAGGATGAGCTGGGACCTCCAGAGCAGCGGCTTCACCTGCGTGGTTCTGGAGACTTTGAGCGCTGCCGGCTACTGCTCCAGCCCTTCCTCAACCGCACAAATGACACCAACACGTCCCTCAACGGGGTCTACCAGCCGCCCATCGACTTCCACAACAGCCAGTTCTACGGCTTCTCTGAGTTCTACTACTGTACTGAAGATGTGCTGCGCATGGGAGGAGACTACAACTCCACCAAATACACCAACGCTGCTAAGGTAAACGAAGATTGCTCGCACTGCTCCTTTCTGGAGAATCAAAGCTTAAAGTACACATGAAATCAAAACTAACCATATTGACTTTGTTAGCTCACATTGCTAGTTTTGTGGTGAACAATTCATCAGTGCATGTCATAAAGAAAAAAACTATAGTTTGCCCTTGTAATGTTTTGTTTTCAGTTAAATTCTCAGATTAGGTTTGTCCGAGGTATCAGGCGTGGCTAACATACTTAACCACACCCCTACAGCTGTCAATTTTGACAACAAACAGAAATGGTGGGCAGGAGTCTGTTAGGTTGTGATAACTCTCCCTAAACCCTCTTCCTGATCTTTCTCAATGGCTGTTTCTCAATATGCGTCCTCGTGTTCTCGTGCAACGTCATCATCAGCTGCCTAAGTTCAGTTCCAATACTCAAGACCGCAAGTACGGAGGACGCGTGAAACTTCCCGGATGTGTTCTTGATATCGAGGACGCACTGATGCAGACTTGAGCACCAAACTCGCTCTGGAAGTCCCAGAAGTCATTGCGACTGGAGGTGGGAAGCGCAGTATTTTATTTAGATTTATTATTAAAGTTCAGAGCTATCACTTATTTACCTCAGGAGTTTCCCTAAATGAAACGGTGAAAGTAAACATTACCATGGACATCTTAATAAAGGAATAAACACATTAAGGGTTGTTTGTTTGCTGAAATTCGTATTAAAATCTGTTTTATTTATATTGTGCAGAGCATATGTATAATGTTTTTATGCAAAGTATATATTTTGAAGAAGGGGGAAACAATAAATCGTTGTATAAATGCTGTAATGTTTAAATAATTTACTATTTAAAACGCTTGAAGGTCACATGACCATCAGGAAGAACGCAGCATCCCATTTCTCAAAGGACGCATTCTCTGCCCTCGCTGTCTCCTGAGTTCGTTCTTCCGAGGACACCTGGCAAGACCAGTCTCCACAAGAACACAAGTCCGTTCTCTGCGTTCTTGGAATTGAGAAACAGCCAATGAAATGCCAACTTTATTACATCCAATCAACTCACATTAGAAAAAACAAGCCACGCCCACTGATGTCTCATTTAATATTCCGTTTCTCTAGGAACTGCATCACAATATGAATAAAACAAAGAACTGTTTATTTCTGTTTTGAGGGAAAGAGCTGTATGGAAAACAATTGGTAACAATTGAAGGGGGTGTTTATAAGATTGACATGACACCTTTATAATCATGACATTTACATCCCACGTCATAAATATAAATCCGATTGTATACATGTGACACTAGGGCAGTTGTGCTGTTTTAAACGCAAAGATAACATTGTTTAAGATGTCTTTGTCAGGAAAACTTTGACATTATCAAGAAAATGTAACTTGACAATCATGTCTATGACGGATTTATGACATGAAGTCATTGTTATCGTAGGTTTAAAAAAAAAAAAACATTTTAATGGAACAAAATTAGTTTGTCATTAATAAAACTCTCAGTAAAAATGTCAATGCTTAATCAATTAATTTTATTAATTAAAATTTTAAATTTTAACTTACTCCTAAGGGCTATTTATATCAAATTTGATATTTAGCCGCATCATATTTGTGTTTCGTAACATCTAGTTTGTATGAGGTTTGTGTTAGCCCAATGCTCAACCCCCCACCTGGAGGACCAGGACATACACTCATACATTACTGACGAAATGCCAACTGGCTCAGCTGGGGCTCGAACCAACAACTTTCTTGCTGTGAGGCAACAGCGCTACCCACTGCGCCATCGTGTCACCCATTTTTAAAATTTTATTTGTACCACTGAGGTCAAGGTCAAGAAAAATATTAATGAGGCTGTTAAAAAATGTACACGTATGACAATCATGTTTATGACAGATTTATGACAAGTTTTGTTGTCTTGATCATGTCAAGTTGTAACAGAGCTAATGGCACTTTATTACAGTTTTCATAAGCATGCATAGAACAAAGGAGTCCTCAGAAAACCTGTCCATGTTTTGTAGAAAAACTTAAATATAAGATAAAATAAAAGAAACAGTATCCTGCCTTCCGGCGGGCACTTCAGGCTCCCCTAAACAAAAGCCAGCAGACTAAGACCCCGTTTACACTAAAACGTTTTAGTTTTAAAGTGTTGCTACGGTTACACCATCCATCCACATTACACTGGAGTTTTCGATTGCCGAAAACTGGGCTTTTTGAAGATGCTGAAGAGACCGTTTTGGTTTTAAAATGCTGCTGCTCCGTGTCATTGTGGATGTGGGAAAATGGAGACATCTGAAAACATGGTGTGGCTGCAGACATTCGCCTATCTGATTGGGGCTTTTTCCACAATATTAAATAGCCTACACACAGTTCAGTCTTGCATCCTCTCATTGTAGGTTCAGACTTAAAGTTTGATATGAAATACAAACTCCCGAAGACACTTTGGGTAAATCTTCAAAGGGAACAGTGTACTTTATAGCGTCATTCACATCACCCTGGTATCTTAACAATAAAACGAAAACATGATTTAAGGAACTGCCTATTTTTAAAACTAAAACATATTCGTGTAAAAGGGGCCTGAGGAACAGCTTTTTCCCCAGACCTGTCTCCCTTTTAAACTCTGCCCTTCTCCCCCACTCCAATACACCCCTACACTGTCCTTATAACTTACACTCCCCATAAACACTGCACTATTTATTATTTAATAATTGCACTACGTTATAAAATTACAATATTGCCTAATAATTGCACATCGCTGCACTACTTCATCTTGAATTGTACATATCAACTGCACATATACTTTTGTAAATGTTCATATCTATCTGCATACCTCTGATTATTAATAACAACCTGTACATATAATCATCTATTGTAAATCTCTGTTTATAGTTAATACAACCTGTATATAATGTTTATATACATACATACATCTGTAAATATCACCATAGATTTTCTATAACGCCACTTTATAACTTATACCTATATCCTGCACTTGCTGCTATTGCATTTTTGGTTAGACCTAAGCCGCATTTCATTGACTTGTACATGTGTAATGACAATAAAGTTGAATCTAATCTAATCAGCCCTTTACTGAATAAAAACATTTCACTCAAACACAAACCTATTAAATAGTATTTTCAGGTGATCTCTTAATGTTTTCCAGAGCTGTATTTTATCTTGCTGTTTTACCCACATTTCAGAAAAACATATTAGTCAGCACAGGTTGTTTTCACATTTGTGACTGCTGTAATTATTGTCCTTTTGATTTTCAGAGTTACTGTGCCACCCAGTGGAAAACTTTGAAAGAGCGGTTTGATCGAGGACTTTACGCCTCGCATGCAGATCAGCATCGACTTAAGTGAGTCTAAAACACACTGCCTCTTTTCTCTGGTGTGAATCGGGAAAATAATCAAGCATTGTATACAAGCAGTTTTTAATTTTTTAAAAACCATTTTAAGGTCAATATTTTTAGCCCCCTTAAGCAACGTGTTTTTTTTTTATTGTCTACTGAACAAACTACTGTAATATCTAGTCCAATATTATGTACGGGCATCATGGCAAAGATAAAAGAAATCAGTTACAGTGATCCCTCGCTATAACGTGGTTCATCTTTTGGCCTTGCAGTTTCATGAATTATTTTTTTTTTAAATGCATTTTGACATGCTTTTTTTATAGCGCATTGTGTTCTGCCTCCTGATTGGCTGTAGATCATTGTTGATCAATCTCCTGCGTGTCTCCTGTATAATACAGAATGTGTTCAGCTTGTCAAACTAACATAAATCTTTGATCGCTAGCTGTGTGAGTTCCAACAAAGATGCAAAAAGGGCTATAACTGTCCGCAGCAAGACCTTCGTATAGGGCAGGGATCACCAAACTTGTTCCTGGAGGTCCGGTGTCCTGCAGATTTTAGCTCCAACCCTAATCAAACACACCTGAACAAGCTAACCAAGGTCTTTTTTAGGTATACTTGAAACACCCAGGCAGGTGTGATGAGGCTAGTTGGATCTAAACCCTGCAGGGAAACCGGCCCACTAGGAACGAGATTGGTGACCCCTGGTATAGGGGTTCACACACTGGATGCACCACGTCAAGCAGCGCCATGCATTTTAGAATTGTAAACATAGGTTTATATCAGGGTACGCACACCGGTGCCGCAAGTCAGCAGCTGTCTGCGGTGCCCAGCTACGACTCGGGACACTTTTCATATTTCTGCCGAGGCACAGAGCAACATCTGAATAATTTCATTTTCAATAACATGCGAATGTGCGAATATGTTTACAGATATGGTATACAAAAACATAATTTTACTCACCTGGGAAATGGAGGCAACTTGAATGGTGTGTGAGCACAATTAAGTGCACAGAGCATGCCATACCATCTGATAATTGTAAGAAATAATTCCAATGGCAATGGACTGTGTAAAGCCATATAAAACAACACAAGCATATGATGTATATGCCGAGTTTAGCAGCTAATCAGCCGGAATGACTCGAGTTATTCAAGTGGCCATGCCCTTAATTATGCAGACTTAATAAAAACAAAACGGATGAGTTAAAAAATAAAATTCACCCCCCCTCACAGTTGTCAGAGTAGAAGGGTAATATTAGCTATATACACCAAAACCATCTCTTGTACCAGGCTGTAAACGTGTTTTATCAGCTATATAATTGGCTAATTTACCATTGCAGTCAGTGAACATCTGGATTTCCTGGAGCCAGCCCCTAAAGGCAAGTCGATGAATTGCAGTTTTAGTTACTTCCGTATGGGCTTCCCGAGGGGGAGGTTGCCACTTGTTAAATACATATAAAAGTACATAAGCTGAAATATTGAAAACTTTCACGGATTTAAGCTGCTGATGACTGTTAAACACGTCTTGTGTAAAGCATCCACTGTGTTTTTTAAAAAAGTTATAAAAAAAAAATATGGTAGAATATTTAGAAAATAAATAATAATAATAAAATCTCTCTCTCTCTGCAGGTATCAGTGCTTTAAGTCGGCCTGGATGCATGAGGTGCTCCACTCAGGGTTTGCGTTTCCAGCGGCGTATGAGAACCTCAGGACAGCCCTGCTGGTCTACGATAAAGAAGTGCAGTGGACACTCGGAGCCATTTTATACCGCACACGCTTTCTACCTCTAAGGTACAGTCTTTTCCTTTATTGCACTTTTTAATGCAGCGTGACCCGTTTGAACCCAATTTGATTAAATACAATCATTACAAACCAAGCTAAAGATACAAGATGTAAAATATGTTCCTTGAGTGTGTATGTGAGTTTCAGCTCAAAATACCGTAATGGTAATGTTTTATAACTCTTTGAAACTGACCACTATAGGCTTTGATCCTAATTGTGCCATTTTGGTTGGTTTAAACTCAAATGAGATTGTGCTGTTTTCGAAAGAGGGCGGGGCTACAAATGCCTATGTGTCAGCATAGTGGCAGATTCAAAAGTCTAATGGGAGACGGCTGCTTCTTACTCAGGGCTGTTCATGTTAATGAGAGAGAGATCGTCACTTATGGGTGGGGCTTTCCCCCTTTGACATGTACAAAGGGAGAATCTCAAACAAAGTGTTTCTGCAGACGGTTTTTATCAAGTGTGATTATAAAATTATAATGAGTTAATTTTTACCATTAGGAACTGGTTATATTCACACACTGTTGCATAACAGTGCAGTTTTTTTTTTCCACAGTTTCACAGTTTTTTTTTTTTTTTTTTTTGCATAATAGGTCCCTTTTAAAGGGATAGATCATCCAAAAATGGAAAATTTCCTTAGCATTTCCTCACACTCCAGTGCTTTTGAGCATTGAACACAAAGATTTACTGTGGATTGCTGGAAACCAATAGCCATTAACATCCATAGTAGAAACAAAAATACTATGGAAGTCAATGGCTTTTTTTGCCCAGCATATCTTTATTCGTGTTCAGCCGAAGCAGGAAACTCTTAACATGTTTGGAATAAGCAGATGATTAGCAAATGATGACTGAATGTACATTTTTGGGTGAACTATCACCTTCAGTTTTTTGTTTCTATTTTGCCTCTATTAGCTGATATATTAAAATGATTTAATCCAAATATGACTCCAAATATGATTTAGTGACACCTCTGTCATGTTAAGTAGCATCTTCTAGCTGTTATTTTGCTGAAGTGGCGTTTTTCTAAAATGCATACAGTGTCTCAGACGTGTAATGTTAGGTTTTTGCCATTTAATGATATTATGTGAGCACGCAGAGTTGTTTTAAAAATGGACATTTTGTAGAGCCACAGAGTAACAACATGAGAATCAGAATATATATATATATATATATATATATATATATATATATATATATATATATATATATATATATATATATATATATATATATATTTTTTTTTTTAATATATATATATATATATATATATATATATATTATATATAAGTTTTTTTTTGTTTATTTCTTGCAGTCTGTAATCTGATAATTTAACTGAAAATGATCAGGTAGTAGTCAAATGATTGTGACGAAGCGTAAAGATTTAAAATTGTCATTCACTTGTATTTTGGGACCAAACTGTGATCCTTTAAATCGTTTTTTGTTTTATTTTTAAGAGATGCACCAAAATAAACATTTTGGGTGCACTTGGCTGAAAACTGAAATCAAAAATGCCTCATTAGAACCATTTTTTGTTTTATTGAATAACAGAAAATCCTTTTCTTAGACGTTTAAATTTTACCCTGATTTATACCAATTTAAAAAAAACAGACACAAGCCAATAAAATAACCTCATTTTATTTATCATTTTTATTTTTGGGCAGCAAACAATTCAGAGCATCCTTAGATTTTTATTTTATTTATTTTTTAGGTCATTGTTTAATGTTTTTTTTTTGTGTTTGTTTTTATAGGAGCCCATTGAGTTGGGTCCATTTATTTATCTTTGTTTTTCCTTTATTTTTTCCTTGATGCCCGAGACGAGGATTGTAAAACAAAGTGGGGGCTCATCCGGGATTATGTACAGGTTACAAGAATATTCTTTATATCTATTATTTAATTTTGAAAAATAAAAGTTGTTTTTAGGAAGCCCCTTGAATTGGGTCTGTTGATTTGTCTTTTCTTTTACATTAGTTGCTTGACTCCCTAAACCAGGGTTGTAACACAAAGTGGGGGCTCATCCAGGATTCTGTACGGATTACAGGAACATTTTCCTATTTTTATTTCATTCTGACGAACAAATTTTTTAGGTAGCCCTTTGAGTTGGGTCTGTCTGTTTATCCTTTTTTCCCTTTTATGTTATTCTTTGACAACCAAGCCGATACAAAGCAGAGGCTTGTCCGGGATTCTATACAGATTAAAGGAACATTTTTCTTATTTTTAATAATATTGATGAATAATATATATGTTTTACAAAGTTCTTTGAGTTGGGTCCATTTATTTATCCTTTTCATTTTTTTGATACTTCCTCTATGTCCTAGGTGAGGGTTGTAACACAAAGTGTAGGCTAATCCAGCATAATGTACAAATTACAGGATTTTATTAAGCTTTTTTTTTTTTAAATCTTGACAAATAAAAGGTGTTTTAGGAAGCCCTTTAAGTTGGGTACGTTTACTTATTTATTTTCTTTTTTGTTACTTATTTGATGCCCTGGGGTTTTCAAACTCGGTCCTGAAGGGCCGGTGTCCTGCAGAGTTCCAACCCCAATCAAACACACCTGTACCAGGTAACCAAGCTATTACTAGATACACTAGAATCTTCCTGCCAGGTGTGTTGAGGCAAGTTGGAGCTAAACTCAGCAGGACACTGGCCCTCCAAGACAGAGTTTGGACACCCCTGTCCTAGACGATGATTGGAACACAAAGTGGGGACTCATCCAGGATTCTCTACGGATAACAGGAACATTTCCTTATTTTTATTTAATAATGACGAATAATGTATGTTTTTAGGCAGCCCTTCGAGTTGAGTCCCATTTAGTGGGGGCTCGTCCGGGATTCTATACGGATTACAGGATCGTTTTATTATTATTATTATTTAATTTTGCAAATACAATCAGTTTTAGGAAGCTCTTTCATATGGATTTGTTTATTTGTCTCTTTTTTTTCTATGATGTTCCTTGATTCCCTAGACGAGGGTTATAGCGCTAACTATTGAGCCATTATTTTAATGCATTTACTAACATGAACAAACTATTAGTGATGGATTTATTATGGTATTTATTAATCTTTGTTAACATTAGTTACCATTCATTAAGTTAAAGAATGTTTCATGAATTCAAATAAAGTTTATAAACTCGCTGTGCATTAACTAATGTTAGCAAGCACAACTTTACATTAGTTAATGTTGAATTACTTTAATAAATGCTTTATAAAATTATTCATGCTTGGTTATTGTATTTAATTAATAAAATTAATAAATGCATCACTAATAGTTTGTTAATTTTAGTAAATACATTAACTAATGGACCATCATTCTAAAGTGTTACCAAGAGTTGTAACGCAGTGGGGGCTCGTCCGGGATTCTCTACAGATTACAGAAAGGTTTTATATCTTTTTTTGGCAATTTTGATTTCTGACATGTTCTTTTTTGTGTTGTTTGTCCTCAGGGACATCCAACAGGAGAGTCTGAAGGCCTCACACTCGCACTGGCAGCACAGCTTCTCCTTCATGAATAACCACTATCTGTTCCTGGTGTGTTTTCTGGTGGTGGTGCTGTCCATCCTGCTGTACCTGCTGCGTCTGAGGCGAATCCACAACCGCTCCATGCTCCACCGCAGCGCCTCTGCCTCCGTCCAATGGCTGGAGGAGGGCCTGGGCTCCCCAGACCTCCCCGTCACCCTATAGGCCCTTTAACCTGTCAATCAAACAGCCGGCCAATCGCTGGAAGAGAAAGCCATCATGACACATCTCTTCAGTGAAGGCGCTTGGGGATTCTTTAACTTTTTTTTTTGCACCCCAAACTTCACATTGACCTCTTGCTGGCCAGATTTGCATTTCAAAATAATTTCCAATAGATACATTTGCATTTTCCGACAGGTGAGTGACAGGATTAATGTGAACACTGTATTTGTTACAGGACAGGACCGAATGGCTGCTTCTGATCATTTTTTTTCCTGAGGTATTTTTTTGTTGTTTTGTTATTTATTATTCGTCTGAGGTCTGCTGAGGCTGCCTTTGGATCTTTAACGTCACTTTCAATGTGTACTTTATTGGTGCATTGATTACGGTTTATATACACTCGTTCTCAATTCAGATTCATGTGCTCCAGAGTTTTTAATACTCAAGACTGTACGCATAATTCAACATCGATTAAATGATTTGGATGTGCCAAAGAGAAATGGAGTGAGATTAATTGTAAGGAATGGACAATTTTATGTTTGATTAACAGCAGAAATCCTTTTTTTTTCTTCTTTTTTTAAGACCGTAAAGTTTAGATATACAAAACCAACATGATGGAATGCAAAACCAATTAAAAAAAAATAGGAACAATTAGAAAGTTTTGGAAATTTAAATTATTTTGTCTTTCAACCACTGGATTTGCTAACGTTTTATCTTAATTTAATAGTTTTTTTTCTTCTCAGAAATCAAAATTGTAATATTTAACTCAATTTTGGGATGGAAGCTTACCCTGCGATTCTCACTTAATATTTGCAGTTTAGTTTCGTTTTGTTACAGTTTTTCTTGTTTGCTTTGACCTGGATAAAGAAACTAGATTTCACTTCATTTTCATTATCACTATCCCAGCTGAGCAGAAGACCGGTCTTGTAAATGTGTAAACTCTTTCTCATTGAGTTGACACATTTTCCCCACCATTTTTCAAAACCGTTAACACAGATGTCATTCAAACGGTCCTAACTCCATTGTTTTAGCTGTGGCAACCAAACAGAAATCATCTATTCCTAACCATTAGACACCACCAAGATCAGTGTGAATTCACTGAAGCGCCGATTTGACACTCCTTCACACAAATCTTCAATTAGCAATCAGTCTGCAAACATTAAAAATGGTGGAAGGTCTGTGTTGCTCTGTGTCAGCATGGATGGAGAAGGGCAATATGGCTATGTCCTATAATCCCAATAGATTTGACTGTATATTGGTTTACATGTGTCTTCTCTAATATTTACAGTATTTTATTACTTTTTTCTGCTTTTTTCTTTCCTTTTTTTGCGGTATTTCAGTTTTCAGACACAGTTTAAAAAATGGCATGAATTCAATATAAGTTTAATCAAAGCACTTCTTATTCTGGATCCAATTCTTAGGCACATTTGACAGCCCAAATAGAAATACAACAAATGGCACTGGCAATAGGCTACAATGACAAGCAATGGTGCCCTGATTCACACTGAGTTCTGTATTTTGTTTTTTGTTGTCCAGTGTTTAATGGTTAATTGAAAGAGCTCATATACTTGTTCCCAAGTTGTGTTGTTTGAAGGTAAAACTAGCTTTTGTTGCGTATTGTAAATGTTTTGACACGGTGTGTGCCTTTTGCAAGCAAAATGTGTCATTTTGACCATGAGTGCTGCTGTTTAGGCCTGTGTGTTAACTGTTTTGAAAATGTGGAGTTTCAGTTGATGGCTGCATCGAAGCAAACAAGAAAAACTGTAAAGTCAAATTTGCATAAAACCATAGTTATAGAAAACCAATACAAGCAAACATATAATTAGAAATTCGTTTGATAGTTAACAATTAACAAAAACTGTTCTATTAATATTTTTTAAAATCTGTTTTTACTTTCAAAATTGCAATACTCATTCATTCGGTTGTCTTCGGTTTATCAGAGGTCACCACAGATGAATGAACTGCAAACTATCGCAGCATATGTTTTACACAGTGGATGCCCTTCCAGCTGCAACCCAGTACTGGGAAACACCCATACACTCACATTCACACACATACACTACGGTCAATTTAGCTTATTCAGTTCACCTACAGCATTGATGTCTTTGGACTGTGGGGGAAACCCACGCCAACACGGGGAGAACATGCAAACTCCACACAGAAACGCCAACTGACCCAGCCGGGACTCAAACCAGCAACCTTCTTGCTGTGAAGCCACCGTGCTAACCACTGATCCACTGTGCAACCAAAATTGCAATATTTTAACTCCATTTTGGCATGGAAGCTTATCCTGCGATTCTCACTTAATATTTGCAGTTTAGTTTTAGACTCAGATACAAATGTGCTTTTTTTATGTAATGGCAGAAAAGCTTTCGTACAGTTCAACCTTTTTTTTTTCCCTAAAAATTTTCAATAAATTACCATTAATCTGTGATGCGTCTTATTTTAAAGTTCACATGAACCTGAAATTGCAACTGCTTTTTTTTGTATTGTGATGCACTTCCTAAAGAAACAGAATATTAAATGAGAAAACAGTGGGTGTGGCTTTTCTACTGCGAGCTGATTGGATGTAATAAAGTAGGCATTTCAATTAAAAAGATCAGAAAGAAGGTTGGGGGGGGGGTTATTACAACCGAACAGACTCCTCCCGCTCAACATTTCTGTTTGTTGTCAAAACTGACAGCTGTAGGGGTGTGGTTAAGTATGTTAGCCACGCCCAATAACCTTTAGATAAACGTAATCTATAAATTTAACTGAAAACGTAAACATTTTCAGACTTGAAGATTGCAAGGGAAAAACTTTTAGTTTTTCTTAAAGGCATGCACAGATGCATTGTTCACCACAAAACTAGCAATGTGAGCCAACAAAATAATTATGGCTAGTTTTGATTGTAGCTTTAAAATTCTGAGGGCATGTTTGGGGAGAAAGAGAAAATAACCCCTAATCTGTATTGTTTTTGTTGTTGTTGTTGTGAAAGGTGGTGCAGGACGGTTCAGTGGTGTGTGTTCATCATGGTTCTTCTTTTCTGCGAGTGTAAATAGGATCGTGAGCATGTGTTTGTACTGTATGCACACTTAGAGTTTCTTTTTATTGCCATCACCCATCCTTTTTTCTTAAATCACATGGGTGTGGAGCTGTATATGCTGTTATTTAAACATGTCGAGCTCTATGAAGAGAATCAGTGCAATAAATTTCATGTTTTCTTGTCTTGGGGTTTAGATGGCATCTTTGCGTATACCAGAGTTCCAGCTTTAAGTTTATGGGAATAGTTTTATACTTTCATGTTGTTGATGCCAAATTCTGCCCCTACCATCTGAATGTCGCAGCTGAAATGGAGACTCTTCAGACCAGACAACGTTTTTCCAATCTTCTATTGTGCAATTTTGGTGAGCCTGTGTGAATTGTAGCTTCAGTTTCCTGTTCTTAGCTGAGAGGAGTGGCACCCGGTGTGGTCTTCTGCTGCTGTAGCCCATCTGCCTCAAGGTTGGACGTGTTGTGCGTTCAGAGAGGCTCTTCTGCAGGCCTCGGTTGTATTGAGTGTGAAACCAAGGGTCTTTAGGCACACTGTCAAACTCTATTTCCAGACACTGTCTGTTTCTGCTAATTTCTGACTCTCATCCTGCAAGCCAAGCCGCAGTTTCTAAATGTATCCCACAGTTTCCGTGTAAAAATCCATAGTTTCTTCTTTCTTTAGGGACGTGAGATGCATATAGCATTGTTTATAAACGCTTTTACTGCTTTTTGGTGGAGGTCTAATTGTAATTTCATCCTCTTCGCTACTCGATAGAGATAACAAGGGCGCTGCCATCTTGGACCATGTTTACATGTTGTTCCGACGTTAGGCCATCCTAATGATCTAGCGGGAAGCATGTGACACGAAGCTGCAACTATCACCTTAAAAAAACGATTACGCGAGGATGGGAGTATTGCTAACTTTAAACACTTGTAAAAATAGAACTGCAGGTTTATACACAGAGAATTTTTAGTTTTTAATTCTCTACCAATTGGTCAATTTATTGGAGTAAAAAAAATGTAGAGCCCCATATATGAGAACGAATGAAACGAAAACCTACTTCACCTTACGGCCTAAAAGCATTTACTCCCACAGAACTGCCGCTTACTGGATTTTTTTTTTTTTTCAGACCATTCTTTGTAAACCCTAGAGATGGTTGTGCGTGAAAATCCCAGTAGATCAGCAGTTTCTGAAATACCCAGACCAGCTCGTCTGGCAGCAACAACCATGCCACATTTAAAGTCACTTAAATATCCTTTCTTCCCCATTCTGATGCTCGCTTTGAACTGCAGCAGATCATCTTGGCCATGTCTCATTGATCATGAGTTGCTGCCATTTGATTGGCTGACTAGAAATTTGCGTTAACAAGAAAGGTGTAACTAATAAATAGTCTGTGAGATTTTTTATTTTTTTTAAAAGAGAGATTAATGAATGAGGGTGTTAATAATAAATTATGATCATTTATTATTATTATGTTTTACACACTTTTAAATATTTTTTTAGCTTGTATCTAAATAAAGCAGTCAAATAATATAATAATGAATAATACATCCTCACTTGTGGGTGAACTGCCTTTTGATAATATTTTGACCCAACTTTTCTAATAACGACCCAATATCTTTGACCCAACCAACCAACACAACAACACACTCAGCACAATATTAGTTTATTACAGTTTTAAAAAATATTTGTAGTGTTGCACACCCCGATCTCACAGAATTGAGGTTTGCACGTGAAACATCCGTTCCTTCAATATTGCTGTTGTCCACAATAAAATGAAATTAAGAATGAAAAGCTGTTTTGTGTTTTTCTGATGTTCTTGAAGAGGATGGCGAAGACTCGGTGGTTAATTTACGATGTCTTTTGGCCGCAGAGGTGAAGCCCTTTTCATTTTGCCCTTTTTTAAGAGCTGTAAAGAGCCACTGACCTCTGTTTTCTCTTTCTAATGTTACAAAGCAAACCCGAGAGAAGGTGTTAAATGAACAAACATGTGGCGTTCAGCTGTCTGGTTCAGGTTTGCTTGTTACCAACATGGCAAATTTAGACTATTCTACACTGTAGATAATATCTGTTAAATGACAGTTTTCCATATTTTGTGATTCATGTTTTTTTTCACTTATTTAGGCTTTTTAATTGCATTACGGGACCTTATTATTTCCTTCAAAAGCTTTTGATGTTGAAAAAATTTCAAAAGTGACTTTTATTAACCTTTTATAAGTTTAAAGTGATGGATTGTCTGGGTTGGTGTTGTATATTATGCTACGAAAACCTGATAATAAACTGTCAGTACATGTTCTGTTATTTAACAAACTTGGTTCTCTATATATTATTTTATAAAATTTTTACTATATATATATATATATATATATATATATATATATATATATATATAAGGTTAATAAAAGTCACTATGTTAAAACTACACAGTTGAATTTTTAACATCAAAAGTCGACAGAGCCGAGATAAAACTCCCATAATGCAAATGCAATTCACAACCATAAATAAATCAAAAACATGTGAAACAAAATATGGAACCTGTTCATTTTTTACAGTTTATGTTTTTGGTCAATTGGTTTGCCAATTACTAGGTTAAATTAGTGTATTTGTGATTCTTT